AGCTATAGGCTATTTAGAGTTTTCTATTTATAGATGATGATAGGCTTCCAGTCTGAGACGGCTGTGTTTAGGATGCTTGTACTGTGTAAGATTCAAAAACTAGAGGTTACAAATTGTAAATGAAGTGCTGCAAGCAGATACTTGGGATATTACTACGTCATGTTGTAATAATCCGTCATAGAAACAACAAGAAAGAATTCAATTCTTATGTCAGGGCTGTAATTTCGATCATTATAATGTCTCAATAAGCAGGTTACACTTTTGCCTAAAATAGAGACGCATTGGGGGAGGAACGTTAAGTAACGACCCTAAAAACGGCTGGGAAGGCCAGACTACCAATAAACTCAAGATTACTAACAAACATATGGCTTGACAAGAACGTGACTAAAGATTCTTTCATTTCCCGTAAATTCCGGAAATTATTAACTGGGCTGGGCAGGAGGCTGGGCCCGGCCAAGTTAATAAAATGGGTAGATTTTGTTTCCGGAAGGGGGTGGGGGAAGGTAATTCTGGGAATTCGTGGTGGGGTGTGCCGTGTCTGGTTCTCCGATTTCTGACCCTTTTTGAGACCAATACTTCTAATGCTAATGTAAGGGAGTACCTCCCGGGTATTTTGGTTGTCGAAAAATGAATTCTAATCCGGGTATTTAACCAGGAGGGCGATTGTAATCTATAAAGCATGTCCGTCTTTGAAGAGGGTCGTACAGGGGTATTTTCGTGATACGTGATTACCTGTTTTTATTTTTCGTGAATTGTGAATTTAAGTGAATTATTCTTTGTGTTAAAAAATTAATGGTTGTCCGTGCACCGAGAAAAACTGGAATTAATAATCGATATCCGTGATATTATTTCTTATTTTTCCCTGATTTTCAGTTTCAAGACTTCCGGAAGATAAATAAAGAAAATGAAAGCATCAAATGAGAATGATGAATTTTTGTAAGTTGCTATTTGCAGTCTTGCTTTTTTTTTCGCCACTTTCAAACTGTTTTTAGTCTTTTTAAGGCTCTTTTTAACACTTTTTTCTTTGCGAAAGAACATGATAAAAAACGGCACTTTACAAGCTGAATATGTGACTCGAAAACTGAAATGAAAGTTTGCTATCCGTAATTCGTGATTTGTAACTATGTATTTTGGTCCGTGAACCGTGCCAGAAACCCCCCCTGTACGACTCTCTTTGAAGTATCGGTTTAAAGGCTGATTTCTTTCCGTTTAATGGAATGATGCTTGTGGGGGGGTTAATTAAATTTCAGATAAGGATAAAGAAGACTCGTCTGAGGAAAACAAGAACTTTGAGAAGTTCATTTCTAGCTTTATTGGCACGAGGGGAGATAAGCGGTAACGTTTCGAGAACCCAGAGATGTCACCGGGGACTTATGAAAATTGGAAAAGTGTAGATAACACAGGTCAATAACCTAAGTAACACCATAGGACGGGACCTCCTCGCACAATAAAAGAAAATACTGTTTTAAGTTGAAAATTACGGATTAATCGTTGCAGCTTAGCAGGAGATGTATGCTAAATATGTAATTTGAAGCCTCGAGACAGTCAAGCAGACTATTGTTTCGACAGTTGTAATGTAACGGCGTTAAGTTTTTGTTACAAAAAGGTCACTGTGTGGTTAACGTGAGAAGCCGGTTGTCAAGTTTGCTTTTCGTACCCTTTGCTTTTGTTGGATACAACAAATTGTCTATTAATGGCTGCAGTAACATCGTTTTAACATTTCGAGGCCCATTTTTCACGGCTCTTGTGTCTTAATCGCGTGTTGAAACCGATTCCAATGCATTATTGCAGAGTCTGCTTTGTAACAATTTTGACACATATATGTCCCAGAAATACCAAACTGATACAACCCGATATAACAATCTTTTAATAGCTCCTTGCATGTTTTTCCGTCTTTGAAGAGGGTCATACGGGGGTATTTTCGTGATACGTGATTACCTGTTTTTATTTTTCATAAATCGTGAATTCAAGTGAATTATTCTTTGTGTTCCATGACCAAATGGTTGTCCGTGCCCCGAGAAAAACTTGAATTAATAATCGATATCCGTGATATTATTTCTTATTTTTCCCTGATGATTTTCAGTTTCAAGACTTCCGGAAGATAAATAAAGAAAGTGAAAGCATCAAATCAGTGTAGTCTGCTACCCAGCCGTTTTTAGAGTCGTCACCTTAATCGCGCGTTGAAAGCGATTCCAATGCATTATTAAGTCTACACAAAGAATATTGCCATGCTTTTAATAATCAATGCCAGGAACCTTTGTACAATCAGATTATCATGTAAGCTATACTGAAAGTAAACTACATCCCTTCCTTTTTGGGAACACTATATACCGGGAAAAACATAACACGAACGTGGATGTGCGGATTGACACCTCTTTATTAAGCAGAGTCAGCTTTGTAACAATTTTGACAGTTATTTATGACGCAGAAATACCAAACTGATACAGCCCCAAACAATCTTTAGCTTCCTGCGAATATAAAGACGGTCGGGGTTTGTCCCTTTGGTTATAAAAGAACTTTTAAAAATCTTTTTTGTTTGTTTTGGCACGAACGAAGGATTATCTTTCATTATCGGAATTGAATCCTTTGCCCGACCGAGACTGATCAATAGTCCAAAGGTAGAGGTGTATGATGAGCACATGATCCAGACCACGGGCGGAGTAGGAAGTAGCCTGTTCCAGGCCAAGTAGGAAGGCGAAAGGCCCAAAGGAACAAGATGTTTACCTCCAAAGCAGTCGTTCTTTTCATGACTTTCCTGTTTGCAGTGATCACATCTGTTTCAGGTAATCTTTCGTTTATGCATTCTTTACATGGGAGCCGAGTGAAAGTTGTTCTATGTAGTTCAATGCGCCAGAGTTATTTGATGCCTTGCTAGACACATTCCATGTATGCAATTTGCTTTTCGGCTAGGTAAAAAATATCTTGAGAAGATTTGCATTTTTTTTTTCTATCAACTCCAGAGTCTATTTCGTTGTCGATTTCTTAATTTCTCTCGACCTATAAACGACATAAGCTCAAGTTTAATAGCTAGAGCAGGGGCACCCAACGGGGATATAGTTCAAAACCACTTAACATAGCATTGTTGAACGTAGTTTAGTATTTAAACGGTAGATATAGGCATATTTTTATCCCCTAAAAACTTTTCATCTATTCGGATTTCCTAGCTGAAAGTCTAGTGATCCGAAAATTATAGGGATCAAAACTTACCTTTTCGAAAATTTCAGCCAGGAAAGTGCTCCCGAAAATTCTAGGTGGCCTTTTTTAGGGCAAATATCCGATTAAAATGGGTAATTATACCATTTTGTAGATGTTCGAAAATCCTAGGAGAGGCAGGCAAGCAAGAAATTTTACAACAAATGTTCCGAAAATTCTAGTTCTCAAATCGTCTTCCGAACAGATATTTTCGCGAAAATTGCCGTTGGGTGCCCCTGCTAGAGTTTTGGCTTTTTGAGTTCATTTCTCCAGTTGTTACACTGTCAAAACGCAGGCTTTGTTATGATCTTGCTCAGTGTTGAGTTTTCACCATTTAACCTTTTATGTTTTAACCGCTTTCTTAAAACATTTGGTGAATGTTAAGGGAAAGCCTACCTTAATTTTGTCTACTCAGTAGATCGCCGTGTTTTACGAATTGCAGAGCATAGTTTCTTGAGAACATCTACCTATAGGCTATTTAGAGTTTTCTATTTATAGATGATGATAGGCTTCCAGTCTGAGACGGCTGTGTTTAGGATGCTTGTACTGTGTAAGATTCAAAAACTAGAGGTTACAAATTGTGAATGAAGTGCTGCAAGCAGATAACACTAACATTTAACATTTTAACACTTTTTTCTTTGCGAAAGAACAAGATAGAAAACGGCCCTTTACGAGCTGAATATGTGACTCGAAAACTGAAATGAAAGTTTGCCATCCGTGATTCGTGATTTGTAACTATTTTGGTCCGTGAACCGTGCCAGAAACCCCCCCCCCCGTATGACCCTCTTTGAACTATTGGTTTAATGGTTGATTTCTTTCCGTTTAATGGAATAGATCCTTTTGGGGGGGTTTAAATGTCAGACAAGGATAAAGAAGACTAGTCTGCGGAAAACAGGGTTCATTTTATAGATTTATTGTCACGAAGTGAGATAAGCGGTAAAGCTTCGGGAGCCCAAAGATGTCACCAAGGACTTATGAAAATTGGAGAAGTGTAGATAACACAGTTCAATAATCTAAGTAACACTATGCGACAGGAACGCCTGATACAATAAAAGAAAATACTGTTATACCAAACTACAGCCCCATACAATCTTTAGCTCCTTGCATGTTTTTCCGTCTTTGAAGAGGGTCATACGGGGGGTATTTTCGTGATACGTGATTACCTGTTTTTATTTTTCATGAATCGTGCATTTAAGTGAATTATTCTTTGTGTTCCATGACCAAATGGTTGTCCGTGCCCCGAGAAAAACTTGAATTAATAATCGATATCCGTGATATTATTTCTTATTTTTCCCTGATGATTTTCAGTTTCAAGACTTCCGGAAGATAAATAAAGAAAATGAAAGTATCAAATGTAGTCTGCTACCCAGCCGTTTTTAGAGTCGTCACCTTAATCGCGCGTTGAAAGCGATTCCAATGCATTATTAAGTCTACACAAAGAATATTGCCATGCTTTTAATAATCAATCCCAGGAACCTTTGTACAATCAGATTATCGTGTAAGCTATACTGAAAGTAAACTACATCCCTTCCTTTTTGGGAACACTATATACCGGGGAAAACATAACACGAACGTGGATGTGCGGATTGACACCCCTTCATTACGCAGAGTCAGCTTTGTAACAATTTTGACAGTTATTTATGACGCAGAAATACCAAACTGATACAGCCCCATATAACAATCTTTAGCTTCCTGCGAATATAAAGACGGTCGGGGTTTGTCCCTTTGGTTATAAAAGAACTTTTAAAAACCTTTTTTGTTTGTTTTGGCACGAACGAAGGATTATCTTTCATTATCGGAATTGAATCCTTTGCCCGACCGAGACTCATCAATAGTCCAAAGGTAGAGTAATGATGAGCACATGATCCAGACCACGGGCGGAGTAGGAAGTAGCCTGTTCCAGGCCAAGTAGGAAGGCGAAAGGCCCAAAGGAACAAGATGTTTACCTCCAAAGCAGTCGTTCTTTTCATGACTTTCCTGTTTGCAGTGATCTCATCTGTTTCAGGTAATCTTTCGTTTATGCATTCTTTACATGGGAGCCGAGTGAAAGTTGTTCTATGTAGTTCAATGCGCCAGAGTTATTTGATGCCTTGCTAGACACATTCCATGTATGCAATTTGCTTTTCGGCTAGGTAAAAAATATCTTGAGAAGATTTGCATTTTTTTTTTCTATCAACTCCAGCGTCTATTTCGTTGTCGATTTCTTAATTTCTCTCGACCTATAAACGACATAAGCTCAAGTTTAATAGCTAGAGTTTTGGCTTTTTGAGTTCATTTCTCCAGTTGTTACACTGTCAAAACGCAGACTTTGTTATGATCTTGCTCAGTGTTGAGTTTTCACCATTTAACCTTTTATGTTTTAACCGCTTTCTTAAAACATTTGGTGAATGTTAAGGGAAAGCCTACCTTAATTTTGTCTACTCAGTAGATCGCCGTGTTTTACGAATTGCAGAGCATAGTTTCTTGAGAACATCTACCTATAGGCTATTTAGAGTTTTCTATTTGCGTTCGACGTTAGGAGAACGCTTCGTAATCTTTGGGGATCCTGTGGTCGATGGGATACCTGTGCATGCCAGGCGTGAAGATTCGAGATTTTTGGTTACTTGGACGGGCGATGTTCAAAATCTGCGCCATTTTGAATAATTATTAAGCGCGCGCACGAATTTTAAGCCCAATAGCCGGCCAAAGAAATTGCGGGCTCACCTGGTGGACATGCGCACACAACTATTTTTTACGTCATAAGCAATTGTCATATGGCAATCACGTGCATCACTGGTTCCATCAAGGTCAACTAGATGATTACACGGGAATATTTGAGTTCGGCAAAAGAATGAACTTTGGAGTTGTTTTCTAAGCGGGTTTTATCACTGAGCTGATGATTCTGCTAAACTTTTCGGTCAATGCCGTTCAAATCGAGCTGGAACTTCGTAGAAACACACAAATAAAGACCAGGTAACATTTGTGCCGTGAGAAGTTTACCCGTGCGTTTGAGTCTATTTACATATTTGTAGTTTAACCTCTTTCATGCACGAAAAAGTAAGCTTGAGCGTATCAGTGCAGTTTGTTACAACTGTAATGCTTTATTCACGTCTGATATCTCTACGCGGGTAATTTTGCATGATAAGTATCTCGCTCGCTGAAGCAAGCTAAGTTTAAAACATGTTGAACTGACCTACATGAACGTAAAATAATCATGAGATGAAAAAAGTTTGCACAATGGCAAAAGATTCTGTCCGGTTCTCTGACATCAGTAATCTAGCAGAAACCTAATATGTTTCCGTCGCTCCTATGATCATTGATTTCACTTCAAGTTGTGTCACGCAAGAAGCCAAGACTTTTAACCTTCAAGGCTACCATTTTTTCGAAGTTTGTAGTGACATGTTTATCTTTTTAACAACAAAGAACTTTTTACTATCTACTTTACATTTTTATCGACCATGCTTGAGGGAGAGTAAGACATTTTAAGAGTAGAGAGTTAATGAGTGAGATATTTTGAAGCCGTATACGCGAAGAACATTTTTTACGAAAAGAATGTTTACCTTTTAATTCATGATCTCTTCCATGATTTTGAAATCAAGCTTGACGACACAAAAGCTAATCTGGAGCTAAGAAAACTCGAACGCACTTATTGATCTATGATTACTACTAGTTATAGATGATGATAGGCTTCCAGTCTGAGACGGCTGTGTTTAGGATGCTTGTACTGTGTAAGATTCAAAAACTAGAGGTTACAAATTGTGAATGAAGTGCTGCAAGCAGATACTTGGGATATTACTACGTCATGTTGTAATAATCCGTCATAGAAACAACAAGAAAGAATTCAATTCTTATGTCAGGGCTGTAATTTCGATCATTATAATGTCTCAATAAGCAGGTTACACTTTTGCCTAAAATAGAGACGCATTAATAATGATGAATTTTTGTAATTGGCTATTTGTAGTCTTGCTTTTTCTTTTCGCCACTTTCAAGCTGTTTTTAAGGCACTCTTTTAACACTTTTTTCTTTGCGAAAGAACAAGATAGAAAACGGCCCTTTACGAGCTGAATATGTGACTCGAAAACTGAAATGAAAGTTTGCCATCCGTGATTCGTGATTTGTAACTATTTTGGTCCGTGAACCGTGCCAGAAACCCCCGAGTGTCCTACAGGGGTATTCTCGTTATACGTGATTACCTGTTTTTATTTTTCATGAATCGTGAATTCAATTGAATTATTCTTTGTGTTCCGTGACCAAATGGTTGTCCGTGCACCGAGAAAAACTGGAATTAATAATCGATATCCGTGATATTATTTCTTATTTTTCCCTGATTTTCAGTTTCAAGGCTTCCGGAAGATAAATAAAGAAAGTGAAAGCATCAAATGAGAATGATGAATTTTTGAAAGTTGCTATTTGTAGTCTTGCTTTTTCTTTTCGCCACTTTCAAGCTGTAAGGCACTCTTTTACCACTTTTTTCTTTGCGAAAGAACAAGATAGAAAACGGCCCTTTATTACAAGCTGAATATGTGACTCGAAAACTGAATTGAAAGTTTGCCATCCGTGATTCGTGATTTGTAACTATTTTGGTCCTTGAACTGTGCCAGAACCCCCGGAAGATAAATAAAGAAAATGTTGAAAGAAAGTTGATAAACAAAGAAAATTGTTTTGACAGTTGTAATGTAATACGTTTAAGTTTTTGTTACAAAAAGGTTGGTTAACGTGAGAAGCCGGTTGTCATGATTGTTTTTCGTGCCCTTTGCTTTTGCTGGATACAACAAATTGTCTATTAATGGCTTCAGTAACGTCGTTTTAACATTTCGAGGTCTATGTTTCAAGGCTCTTGTGTCTTAATCGCGTGTAAAAACCGATTCGAATGCATTATTAAAGTCTACACAAAGAATACTGCGGATCTGAACCGCCATCCTTTTAATAATCAATCCCAGGAACCTTTGTACAATCAGATTAACATGTAAGCTATACTGAAAGTAGACTACATCCCTTCCTTTTTGGGAACACTATACGGTCAGTATAAAACATGGACTTGAACTGCGGACTGGGTGTAAAACACGGACTAGGTATAAAACGCGGACTGGAAAATACCGACTGGGTATAAAACACGGACTAGGTACAAAACGACGACTGCGGACTGGGTGGAAAATACGGACTACGCACTACGTGGGTAAAACGGGTTCTAATTGGTTCTAGGTAAGGAAAAATAAGATCAAAAGATTGCTAAATAGAAAGACTTGTGAGTTTAAGTCATAAATACACCGCCCAGTTCTCTGAATCATGAGCCTGACCAAAGTACTATTCTCTACACCCATTTTTAGACCTGGTCTCGGTCTCTAACAACCATGAAAGTGGTCAGCACCGGGCGGGCTCCCTTATATAAGCCATATAGCCCCAAAAGGTAGGGTTTTTGGGCATTTTTGGTCTGAAAACACTTTGCTCATTTTGGTCTGGATTCGAGTAGCCTCCCACGCAGACGTTCTTAGGGGTTCGTCACGCGTTCCTGCCCCACGAACGTCTGCTGACTTGAGCGAAAAAAAATGTAGACCAATCACAGCAGACTTCCAGATCTGGGAAGTGCACTTTTGGACCTTGAGAAATTTCGCGCTTGACTTTATAGCTCCTGAAGAGATTAGAAAGGTCTATGAAAGGTGAGGACCTTATTACAGTTTTAGAACAAACTACTCAGTTAACTCACAAGTGTTCGTACTAGAGGCTACCCTCACAATCTCATTGAAAAATATGATATGTCCTCAGAGGTTAAATTTGCTGAATGGAAGTCGGCTTTACTACAAAACAATACGTGTGAAAAAAACTCTGCCTTTTGTTCAGTCTTACAGGGTAACCCCACCGTTGCATCATCCAAAGAACAACTTTATGAGCAAACGACATCTAATCTAGCCTTTACAGAGAGAAATATACAAAAAGCCAACGCTTATCTCCTAGATTCTCGTCCGGAGCAAAAATCTTTCACGTATCACACTTCTACAGAGCTTGTATGTAAGTGTTTGGCTTGTCAACAGTTTGACATCAACAGCGCCGATTGGATCTCCGATAATCTGCATGTGATCTCCAGCTGATATTTGCGAACAATGAGAAAGAAATTTATCTTTAGGTTCAGCAGACGTTCGTGGGGCAGGAACGCGTGACGAACCCCTAAGAACGTCTGCGTGGGAGGCTAGGATTCGAGGGAACTACGGGAGCGTACATGTATAAACGAATTTATCTTTTCAATTCCAAATGAATAAGAAAGAAATAGAAATACGCGAATTAGAAATGCATTTGACGAATGTTTTTGTTTGCGCTCTAATCTGGTAATGATGGCATAATTTTTGCCCAATTAGGCCTAGCCTGTTCCAGGCTCCGAGATAGTTGGGTCCACTGAATTGAGAAAGCGCGAACACGAAAATCAAACGGGAGGAAACTGGGGAGCCTCCCCCACTATATGAGAGCCTGGAACAGGCTAAAATAGACCAGGTCTGAAAATTGCTATGGATTTTAGAGATCGGACTGAAAACGGGTGTTGAAAATGACATTTTTTTTTTTCTGAAATCGGGTCAGGATTTGGAGAACCGGGCGGCACACCCCTACCAAGAATTCCCCGGAAAACCCCCCTCAGGGGGCCAGGAGCAGGTTGTAAATCATGTCATCGTAATCATCGCATAGAATATAACGTTGGATGATTCATTTCGGTTATTATTCACGTATAGGTGAGTAATCTCTCCGCCTAAATACTGCTTTTTTACATCGGTGAATGTCCCTATATTGACCTTCTAGTCTGAGTTCTTCATTTCCTCGTATTCCCAAGCTAAGGCTTTATTTGAAACGGAACTGGCTTCTATAAGAATTTTACTCTAACTAACACCAATATTTTTTTATTCGGTGCTTCTTATTGGTTTAAAACTATAAATTGAATTCTCTTCTAAATCCTTCTTTTTATAAAATTCAGAGTTTAATTTCAGTTGCCTTGAGAAGCGGCATAACCTTCCTTGCCCGTGGAGTATGCTTTTCTCACATGACACTGACGTTGGGGAGAATAGACTGCGTGACCAGCTAAAGGAATCTTTTGTGTGTGAAGCAAGGAGCTACGACTACTGTTTTATGCTAGTCCGCTTTCCGTTTCTCTCATTTTTACCTTTCTAAAGCCGTTTTTATATACTAGTCCGTATTCCGCGTTTATACCTAATCCGTGTTTTATACTCAGTCCGTAGTCCTCATTTTACACCTAGTCCGTGTTTTATACCCAGTCCGCAGTCAGTGGTCCGCGGTCCGCAGTCAATGTTTTATACTGACCGTAATTAAAATGATTTAAACAAGCTCAAGATTTATAAAATATCCACTTGAGAAACTTTTTAATCTGATTCGATTCTACAATCTGGAATATTTCCTACATCAGGGGAGTAATGGCCGGAACAATCACTGCCTTGCATAAATCTGAAAACAAAGATGACCTTTCAAATTACAGAAGTATTTGCATTAGCAGTTGTCTCGGCAAAGTCTTTTAAATACGAGATTATTAAACTTTTCAAACAAACATAAAATACTTCATCGCTTCCAAATTGGCTTTTTGCCCGGACAGCGTACGTCTGAGCATATCTTTAATTTAAAAACGTAAATAGACCAACATGTTACCCACTCCCCAAAAGGAAAAATTTATACTTGTTTTGTTGATTTTAAGAAGGCATTTGACTCAATTTGGCATCAAGGTTTACTATACAAACTGTTGAAATATAACATAGGTGGCACCTCATTGAATAATTTCCAACATGTATCCCTATTCAATATGTTGTGTGAAAGACAATTATACTCGATCAGAATTTTTCAATTATGATAAAGGTGTTCGACAAGGCTGTATTCTGTCCCCGCTTCTTTTTAACCTTTATCTAAACGAATTACCCTTCATTCTAAACAACAATGCTAAAGATTCTATCTTACTAAAAGACGGTTCTCACTTAAACTGTCTACTACCATACCGATGATTTACTTCTAGCATATGTAACTCGGCAGAAGGTTTGCAACAAAGTCTTGACAGACTATCAAAATACGGCCAGGATTGGCTTCTTAAGATTAATCCAACTAAAACAAAAGTTATTGTATTTCAGAAAGAAGAGTAGTAGAAAATCAACAATGGATAAAGACAATTTTATGGTTAGCAAGGAACACTTTGAAATCGTCAATAATTATACCTAGTTGGAGTGAAATTTTCTGCCAATGGAAATCTTACAAATCACAAGGAAAACTTCACAGAAAAAAACAAAGAGGTCCCTTTTTGCCGCTCGTCGTTATCTAGATGTTCTAAAATTACCAATTTACATCATCAACAAACTGTTCAATACACTATTTTTTTCCAATTTTAACGTATTGCTCCGAAGTTTGGGGAATCTATGATAAAAGTGATCACCAAGAACTTTTTGAAAGTATTGTCATAAATCTTACCGAGACACGTCTGGCAGCAGTCATTTTCGGTATTAGCACCCTAAGTGGTACCAATCCACAAATTTAAACCCCTAAAAGGTACGACGAGCACCCCCGACACTTTTATAGGGGAGTACCCCCGGGACTTCGACATAATCGCAGAGATGCCAACCTCTGAAGATCTAAAATCTGGAGACGGAGACGCTCTTTTTGCACTACCACCCCCCGAAATTTAAACGCCCCCCTCTCCAACCCCCGACAAATAACTCAGCCCCCAATGGGAATGAGTAAGGACGTTAAATGAAGTCTTACATGAAGTACATACTATCAAAAATCGCAATCATCGTTTTTATGCTAGAAATAATAATAATAATCTTTGTCAGTGTAAAAAAAATTCACGTTTTGAGCTAAAAATGGGCTAAATTTCAAACCTAGGCACAGAAAAGCTCAAAAGATGACTTTATCGGGGAGGTATGGTGACCCGTACGGGAGAGCGGGAAATTGGTGCCGTATCCGGGAGAGTTGGCATGTACAATAATCGTCTTCTGACCGCAGTACATGAGTAATCAGTACATGAGACTGTTATGCTGTTTTTGAAGCCTGATGTAAAATTTTTTGTTTTGTTTGACTTGTTACTCACCGCCAGTAACTTCATATTTGACTTGGGTCTAAGCGTTTAGAGCATAACTGGGGTAATATCTCAAAGACAATTAAATTTTGCCCCGAAATGCTAGGTTTTGGCAAGTAGGCCTCTTGGATATTGCTCTTTTCAGAATATCCTGACAAATGCCATTATTTCACAAATTGACACCTATCATATATCATTTCTTACTATTCCTCCGCAATTGCAATTAATTCCACAACCACAACGCCGAAGTGTACGCTCCATACCTCCTTGTTGTTATTTTAATCGGTAACACCTGTACAAAAGGGTAATACTGGTTGTTGTTGTTGTATTATTTACATATTTAGCGCACATATCTGCTCAACTTAACTCAACACTATTTTCTTTTATTGTATCAGGAGTTCCCGTCCCATAGTATTTTAGATTATTGAACTATTTATTGCTAGTAAATGGCTTATTGCCAAGAGTTTGACAATATTTTTGCCCTCAGTTGTCGAGAGCCAAAGAAGATGTCAAGCAAAATTCCGTCAGCGTGCATGAGATAAATAAGGGTAACACTGAATGAAGCATAATTTCATCGCAGATTTTCGGAAAAGGAGGTGATTTCTTAAAATGTTATCGAGCAAAATGGGTCAAAATGATCTCAACAACAAGTTCTTTCACGTTCGAACCCTAAAAGGGACAGAGTCCAAAATCTTCACGTGCAAACCGCGTGCGTGACAGCTATTTTTAGACCCTTAGGTTAATTAGATTAAGTTGTATTCTCTATATACACGAACCACGAAAGCGGCAAATTCCAAAGCTTTCAAGTGCAAACTGCGTGACAATACCGTCCGGCAAGCGGATCCCAGCTATCCGGGCTAGCTGGGTTGCCATATAATGGCAAAGTTGATTTTTGTTTCGTTCAACTAAGGTCCGGGATCTCTGCAACACGAGCCAGCCCCGGCTCATATGATCAGGCCCTTAGTTGTAAAGCCTTTTTTTACGCCCTCCCCCTTGACCTCACCGATTTTTCAAAGCCCCCGAACACGCACACAAAATTCCAGCCCCACTCGCTAAACATCTTCATACCCCCTTGTCTATATTACATAAACTTTCCCTTATCCACGTTCTCTCCAGATAAATATCAATAATAACCGAAAAACAATCCTAAACAGAAAGGCTGGCAATGTTCAAAAAAGTATAAGTATGGTTTTGACTATTGACAAGATCTTTCACAACCACCACTTCATTTCAACAGACTGTAACTGTACACTCCACTTCATAACCAAATTAGCACTCTCACAGCTACCTCATTGTAACACCTAAAATCACTTTAACCTTCCAAAAAATCTTTTTTTGTTACTTCATATGCATATTAAATTCTACGTGAAACCAGTTTCACTGATTAACAAACTAGAGGCATTATCTTACCAATCCACGTCCAATACAGCATCTCAACCAACCCCTAAAGTATACAACACTACTGGACTACTCACACAACCCTAATTCACATTTTAAAAAAACTTCACGCTAGCGTTGTACATCGACGCCCAAATGTACGCTTCCACAGCGTCTTTTTGTCTACACAAGCACACTACATCCCTTGCTTTTTCAGAACACTATTTACAAGGGAAAACATAAAACGAACTTAGAAACTACGAGGAAAAACCAGAAAAACTTCTTAGCTGCACAACTAGTGTAAACTTGACTGCAAGTCACGTAGTTCAATAATAACACTAACGAAGTAAGTTGACACAGCATTCCTTTACTTTCACCATCCGTCTCGAGATCCGTCGGTAAGTAGGACTCTCTGCTCGAACGTCTTCTTTAACAGGCAGAGAAACGGTTCGACTCGGCAGTTGTGGCGTGTTCAGTATTTCTTTTTAACTGAACACCCTCAGGAGATTTGATAATAATGCTGCTGCCATTCCTGCTAACAACATCATACGGTTCTGGTGCAAATGGTGTCGACAGTTTGTTTTGCTTCTCTTGTTTTAGCAGTACTCTGTCACCTGGAACCAGATTTGAATACTCTGTATGCCTCTTCTTGTCTTCTTAGCTTTTGCTTTCATTTCTTCGTCTCTGTCTTCCACTTCACTCGCTACACTGTCTTCTCGGAATTCAGGTAACTTGGTCCGGATTTTTCTTCCAAACAGAAGTTCTGCTGCACTCACTCCGGTGGTGGTGTGATGAGTCAGTCTGTATGCTATCAAGTAACTGCGAACTTCTTTCTTCCACTTTTTGCCTTCAGCTTGCGCGATCCGCATCCTTTTCAAAAGAGGTCGATTCTACCTTTCCACCTCGCCGTGTGCTTGGGGCCATAATAGCGTGCTCTTCCTGAGTTCGATACCACAGCCTTTCAAGTATCTTTCAAACTCACTTAAGACGAACTACGGCCCATTGTCACTGGTTATTGATAGTGGTAAACCATGAATCATGAAGATTCTCTCCAGACTCTCAATGATCTTCTCAGATGTTGTGGAACACATGATCTCAATTTCGTACTATCTGCTGAAGTAGTCAACACGACTAACATGGAGTCACTTGACGGTAAAGGACCTAATAAATCCAGGGCCAAGTCTTGCCATGGACCTCGTGGTAAGGGGGTTGACTTGATTGGTTCAGGGTGGGCAGTTCTGCTTACTAGCTGGTATCCAAAACACGTGATGCGAAATCTTTCTGTGCCTTTGTCAATCCCGGGCCACCATACCTTTGATCACAACCTCTTCATCAGACTAACAATACCGGGATGCCCTTCATGTGCCAGCGTAAGGACTCGTGGTCTCAGCTTACTAGGTATTACAATTCTGGTGCCACGGAGGATTAGCTTGCCAATCACACACCGTTCACTGGCTTCAGATATGTATTGCTTGAGGTGGCCATCCCTCCAGGTTCCGCTCTTTATACGGTGACGCAGCTCACTGAATTCTTCATCTTCTGCTGACACTCCTTCAAGCTCGCGTGTTGTCATCGCGCGGAGTAGCGGTTACTACCCCAAATCTGACAAATTAATCTGATACTTTGTGCGCTGCCGAAGGACCTGCTTGATTTTCTGCTAACTGTAAGCGGGATAAGGGATCTGCAATGTTCTGCTCTCCTGGCAAGTATTTAACTTTGAACCTGAAAGGTTGTAGCCTCAGGATCCTCAGTTCTTGCGTACAGCTTTGATCTGCTTTTAGCATATTGTCTCAAATGGCTTGTGATCTTTGTACAGCTCGAATTCAATGCCGTACAGGTACACATGGAAACGTTCGCAAGCCCAAACAACTGCCAACGCTTCTTTCGCAGTTTGAGAATACCGTTGTTCTACTGCACTCAAACTTTTCCTTGCACCACTAGTAACTCTCTTTCTTCCTTGTTGTTCTTGAATAAGTACTGCGCCGAGACCAACTGGGCTTACGTCTGCTATAATACGTGTTCGGGCATCTTTGTAAAAATATCCAAGGGATTCTGCACTTACTAATCTGCTCTGCAGCTCAATGAATGCTCTTCTCTGCTCATCTCCAAACTGAAAACACACCCCTTTCTTTGTTAAGTTACGCACAGGTTCAGCTACTTTGGAAAAAACTGGGATAAACTGCGCATTGTAGTTAGCTAGTCCTAGGAGGCTTCTAACTTCCGAAGCATTCTGCGGGTCTCTTACCTCAACATAAACCCATAAACACTAGTTTGGTCATGTGAAACTTGCACTTTTCTGCATTTAGTGTCAGGTTTTTCTTTCAATTTCTCCAAAACTCGCTTTAACCTCTCATCATGCCCCTCAGTGGTTTTCCCATGCACAATTATGTCATCTGAGATATTTGCAACTCCCTTACAGTCACTAACCGCTTGCTGAATAACCTGCTGATACACACGTCTGGGGCTGAACTTATTCCAAACATCAGGCGCTTATATTGAAACAATCCACAATGAGTGATGAAGTTAGTTACGCTACGGGAATGTAGATTGAGTTCTAGATGATGGTAACCCTGCTTTAAATCAAGCTTGCTAACCACTGTGCTTTGGTTGAGGCTGATTATCGCTTCATTGGCTCTACGCATGTCCACAAAAAGACGAATTTCATCATTCTGTTTTGATACCAGCACAACCGGACTAACCCATGGTGTCGGTTCATTTACTGGCTCAATAATATCCTTGCTTACAGTTCCTCGACCTTTTTCTTCACCTTGTCACGGAGGCTGAACGGAGTGCGCCTGACTGGCTGAGCCACCGTGGGTACATTGGGATTCACACGTAACTTGACCTGATACCCTTTTAACTTCCTCTCACCATCAAACACTGACATGATCGCTTTATTGGACTACAGCGTGCGTATAAACTGGAACACCTAACTTCAACACTCCAAATTGCAGCTTGAACTTCATTCCCAGCTACTTTCGGCGATGCTCAAAATGTCCCCAAAACTTTTAGCGGCTCACTGCTTCCGTACGCCTCTTGTCACACTTCGTGGTTACGAAGGATACACAGGCAATCTTCTGCCGCTTTAGCTCACTCCATAGGTCTTTATAACCTAACAAAAGTAAAGCGTGCGCTCTGATTGGTCAGTTAGCCATCTACCATTTGCCAGTGGGTGCGCGCCAAAACACTGAGCTAGCGCGGTAAAATTGAGGTAAATTCAGCAAATCTCCTCTCCTGTCAGTAAAGTGCACCGATGAAATGTACAAATGAAAAGTGGAACTGAAGAAAATACTCAGTTGTCGTTTTGAAAAAGAAAAAGTTAAAAGATCAAGCGACAAATTTGCCATGGATGAATTTATCACTTTTTTTTTCGCGGTTAGTTTCGGCAGAAGAAAAACCGAATGAGCAAAGATTTAAGGTACAGTTTGTGTGTCGTTATAGAAGAGAAAGTCTGTTTTGAAATGAAAATTTATCAGTTAGCATTGTGTTATTGACATTTTAGTCGAACTGATGTTAAATTCAAGCAAATATTTTAGGAACCACGCTCAGATTCCAGACAGCTTTGTTGTGTAGTTTTCATCGCATCGATTAAAAATTTCAGTTGAGTTACGGACACATTACGCTGGAATTGTAAAGAAAATTTCATTTGAGTACAGAAAAATTTTGTTTTCAATTAAATTTTTCAAAAATGACTTCTCTGTTTATTATTTTGTTAATGTTCATTCATAACAGTAGCTCAAAGAACGGTCGTAAAACAACAGCATCTAAATTGCTCAAGCATCGCTTCAGCGCCGGCTGTGTGGGCGAATTTTTGCAATTTTGACTTTCAGCTCGATTTCCCCGGACAAATCTCGATACGAAGATAGTTAATTTCGTTTTAAAGTTAGTGTTACGTGAGTTACCTAAGGGAAATACAGTCAATTTTTCTCATTTCTACGTTATGATTATTGCAAAAATTGTTTTTTAGAGTCTTTTTTTAGTTAGGGTCAACTACTGTTTTACAACAGTAATTTTCTGATTCTTAATAAATCTCGCAAAGCAAATTAAATTTTAGTTTTGTTTCTATCTCATATGGCAACCACTAAAATAATACTGAAAAGAAATCGTTTTGTGATGCTTAATCGAGTTGTCGGAGAACCCGGTAATCCTTCGGGCTAGAAGGCAAATTTTCTAATCAAGCGGGCTTTTAAATAGTCGCACAGTTCCTAGCTCACAAGCCAGTACATTTTGTTTCGTTAACTAATAGATTCAATTTAATTTATTATGTTCAAAATTATTTAAAAAAAGATCGTGTCCTGTTTTAGCAACAATACTATCGGCTGGCCAACGGAAGTTAAGTAAGATTAACCAACAACTAATCGTGAACCTTCCTGCTGGCAATACGGCTGTTTGATAAACACTATTATTGTGTTGATACCGTAGGTTGCAAATTGTAAGCTAAGTGCTGCGAGTAGATACTGGGTAGTACTCCATCACAATGTATATAAATCTCTTATAGAAACAACAAGAAAAATGGTTCCATTTTCGAGTCGGGGCTCTAATTTCAACCATGTCTAAATAAGTAAATTCCGCTTTTGAAACCAAAAATTTGGCATCATTTTTAACTGCAATCATATTTCCAAATGCAACCACCTCCCCCCAACGACTCTGCCAAATGATATAACTTGACAGTATAACGTGACCAAAAATTTCTAAACAATCTTTCATCTTACCAGAAAGTTCCCAAAAATAATGTTGTTTACGTTTATAAAACGTAATTGGGTCAACTTTTGGTTTTACAGCAGTAATTATCTGCTTCTTTATAAAACTCGTTAAGCTCTTGCTGTCTGATGTGACATTCAGGGAGATTTGCAGTCATGGTTTGGAAGAGAAAACACATCAATAGGTATAAAATTCAAGATAAACTGAACAAAAACCTCAAAGGGGATTCATTGTAACATCTTTTGAAGGACAGATTGCAAAAGTACAGTACGTTAGCTGTGAACGCATCCTCATTTGATGGCTGCCTTCCGGAAAAAGGCACTGCGAACGGATCGAGAGAAAAAGTACCCAGGCCCCACACGGCACGAAAAAAAGATCATCGTTCCATCTCGAAAAAAATCTTCGTCGAAGAATTGAGAGATGAAACCAAATATAAAGTACCCAGGCCCCACTCGGACTGTCACAAATTGTGTTGCTGCTCGCTAAGGCCCGCAGCAATGAATACCTCGAAACCTTCCTTTATGAAGTTAACAATTTACAGTTTCATGAAATAAATCAATTTATTATATAGACACGAGTGTTTTACTAGAAAATATACCACTTATAAAATTCATAAAAACTACATCCGGGACCCGAGTGGTTTATTTTCCATAATCTCACACGTGAGTTTATCGATGACGTAATTTCGGTCATTTCCCTCTATTATTTTATCGATGTCTTTTTGTCTATATAATGAAAAGAACATTACACGGCTGTGCGCTCGTTCGTAAAATATTGTTTTGCCACTCGAAAATAAAATTCATATCTTCGCGCCACCGTGTAATATCCTCTATATACAGCCGTCTGTAAACATTATAGAGCTTCGCATAAATTTGTTACCTTTCGACACCAAGAGCAAAAAATCTGTGTTTTATTACTTTGCACATTGGCTGCATCGCACTTACCGTACTCAATATTTTTACTGCAGTTGTTTATTTGCTTTTTAGGTCGCCCATGTGTATTGAAATAGTTAGTTTATTGAGCTATTTTGAAATATAGTTTCCACGAAGTAAAACTCCACAATAGCACGTAACTCGATAAACTTACACGGTCTCTACCAACTTGAATAAACACTGCTTTCGTCACACTTGACTAAACACGACTAACCCCGAACTCTCTTCGCTTGTGAAAACTAGTTAAAACTTAACTCGGACTCGCCTACTTATATACTTTCACATTCTAGAACTTTCCAAATAGTCTAATTATAGAAAGATTACAATATATACCGCTTTAGAAACGCTTACACAGGATCCAAAAATAAACGAACTATGAACTCTCGCGAAGCTTCTAAAAAGTCACGCTAGTCACGCAATACAATTTTTCGTAACATAGCATATGTATCTTTGTGGCTTTCTGCGTTCGGATATGTGTTGCAGGGACAAATAAGGTTGAAGGTACTATGAGCTGATGCTAGGATTCAATGAGATTTTGCAATCTAAACATGACATTGCTAAAGCTCACACAACAGCACTTTGAGACCGCCATTTTGGTTGTTCAATATTTTTTCGTCTTTTATAACGGCTAAAGGTGTTTACAAGCAAAAAATTTAAAGTCTGGGAGTCAGAATCCGCAGAGTCGCTTTAATTCACCAGCATCACTAGATCCGTAATGGTCATCTCTAAGGGCTGGTTTTTACTAGCGACGGAGTCGGAGTCGGAGTTGTAAGTCATTTTCTTCCGACTCCGCTTACGACTCCGTCGCTTACGTTCTGCTTATGATCTAGTGAAAACTAGATTGTCGGAGTCGGAAGCAGAAGCGGAAGGATAAGCAAATCAAAATGCACGTTCCCAGGCTTTGTTTCTGCTTCCAACTCCGAGAATCTGGTTTTCACTAGATCATAAGCGGAACGTAAACGACGGAATCGTAAGCGGAATCGGAACGCTGTTTTCACCAGATCATAAGCTCGACGCTTCTAAGTACGACTCCGACTCCGTCGGTAGCGAAAACCAGCCTTAAATGCCAGCATGAAATGCAACGTAAATGACCAGATAAGCAAAAAGCCCCTGCGGTCACCCTACAGATCAGTATGACCTGATATCATCTCAGCACTCAGGGGCGGATCCAGGGGGAGGGTGCAGGGGGTGCGCCCCCCCTCCCCCCACCTGGGATGACCTGCGGCCGCTTTCTAATTAACACTGTGCAGTCGCTTGACAGACATACAAAATCTGCTCTGTCGTTTGATATTTATTCTCAGCAGTTCACATTATGTTATTTCCTAGTCGTATTCGCTTTTAAAATTTTTTACGTCATCGGTCAGTAAGTGGTGCACCCCCTCCTAAGAAAAATCCGTGATCGGCCCCTGGCACTGACGTGTGCCGACTACTGGACTTGTGAATAACCTCGGGGACTAACAATTCCCCAGCTGTGGCTTCCACTCAGTGGAAGTCAATGAACAAATTCAATACAATTGTTTATTTAGACCAGTAGACAAGTTTCTGTTTCAAACTTATTACTGAGTACTGATAGAGGCCAAGAATAGGAAGATCATGTAAAAGAGATCAAGTTGGGAACGGAAAATAATCCAAAGTTTCTGACAAGAGTAAAAACTTCTTTTTTCAATTTGCTCGCCATACCTTTTTTTTTTACAAGAATGCCAACGTTGCCAGTTATAGTCCAGATATTTCCGTACCATCAGCATTGTTTATTTGTGTTTATAAAAAGGTATTGACTTAATAACTCAAGTACAACCAAGGATATCTCCCTTGTACTTTAATATATTTTAAGGTATAAATTCCTATGAAATATGATACATAATAGAAACACAAACTTTGTTTTATTTAAATGTTTCCCTTGATAATACATTGAAATGCGATTTTAATATTATCTTTTAGGTATATCATTATCAAAACCAGAAAATAGAAATGCATCAAATATCTTGAAAGAAACAATCGACAGGTCGCATTCTCAACTTGCAGTCAAACCTGTGGAATATGTAACGTCAAAAATATTGTCTTCAAAACCACAAGAGCCTAATAAAACCTTGTCCTTTGGTCAGAATGATACTGGTCGTATTGTTTCTTCCTTTGGAGTTCCATCTTTATCGACCAAAAGAGAGTATTCCTTCAAAAGTACAGTAATGTTCGATACGCCAACTTCAGAATTTGATAGGTTTGGTGGACATCTAGAACACGTGGTACTGCATTGCAATTCTCTCACACTTTCAAATATCAAGTACTTAATAAGTGATGTCGACCAACCAGTTGAGACAAAGATTATTTCAATGATGATAGCATCTATTGCCGTTGGCTGTCCAGACACTGCCGGGTTTCTAAGCTGTTTATTGGTTGACAGGAAACAAAACTTTTCACGTATTATTGAAAGCCCGCAAGAAAACACTACTGCTCCATGCGACGAACACAAAGCTGAAAAAATTAAGATGTCTCTTAGTTTCAGTCAAAGGTACAAGACACTATACGAATTACTGTCACCAGCCCTATTTCTTTCCCTAAAATGTGATAGCCTTGGACAGAAAGAATTTAAAAGTCTTTTATATGATTTTAAGCAGAATAACGCTTCAAACGTTATCAATAGCACTTACAATGGAACAACTATCGCGAACACCTTCAGTCAGGCTTCAAGATATAAATGTGGTCGTATCATGAATTACCTTAAGGAACGCAAATTTCAAATGTTAAATGCAGAAAAACTCGTGTACGAAATGCTTGCAATCAACGAAGCACACAAAAGAGGAAAAAGAGAAACTGGTATCAATAATATTTACAAGTATTTTAAAGTAAGCAGAAATTGCGCTATTTCACGTCCTTTAGGCGTGTTATTGAACCCGATTTCAAAAGATGACTGCCTTCAGCTTTGCTTAGAAGAAGAAGGTTGTAAATCAGTTGGATATATGAAAGACAACTTACAGACCTGCCATATGAATTCTGAAAACAGAAAAGATGTTGGCAAATTTTTCTATTGTGGAAAAGTAGATACAGCGTCATGGGATTATTATGAAAAGATCAAGCCCATTGATTACTTTTTAATTTCTAGTAAGATGACTGCAAAGGTACTGGCAGTCAGACCAGACTATTCCGTCGTTTTGAAGACGTATAGTGGAGACGACAACCAACTGTGGTATTGGGACAATGGAGCTATTCGTTCGAAAAACATCGTCATGCATTTTACAGTTGCATGTGTCTGACTATGAAAGATCTGGCTGGGGTAAGGTTTACATATCATCAAGACGAAGTGGTAACAATTTTCTATGGAACTTCGAAAACAACCAGTTAACATCTCAATACAAAAATTTGAAGTTAGATGTAAAATATAGTCACACGTATGACGGAGCACTTGTTGGCGTTTACCCAGGAACTGGGTATATGAATCAAAAATGGAGTCTTAGTTTGGACAGATTTTATTTCATTATAACAAGCAGACATTCCGGCAAAGTTTTGGATGCAAGTCTTGACGAAAGTAGCACTGGTAAAGTTATCTTATGGTCATATCATGGCAAGGATAACCAATTATGGTTTTGGGACGATGACAATATTAGATGCAAACAATTTCCGGAAAAAGTACTTGATCTCCATATGGCAAATTATGAGGCAAACAACTGGGGCAAAGTTTACCTACATCCTTACAACACGGGTAACAATCAACGATGGAAAGCTGAAGGTGACCAGATAATTTCAAGTTACAAAAACGTACGCTTAGATGTTAAACAAAGCAGTACTTCTGATGGAGCGTTGGTAGGAGGATACAGAAATCACGGAGGAGTAAATCAAAGATGGACCTTTTCATCTTCAAGGCCATACTTTTTTATATTAAACAAAGAATCTGGAAAAGTAATGGATGCTGTAAGTCCAGCATCAATTAAACTATGGCACTACACTAACAGTGATCAGCAGTTATGGTTCTGGGATGGTGAGGTAATACGAAACAAAAAGTATGCCAACAAAGTAATTGACCTTCATATGTCAGACTATAACAAATATCGGTGGGGGAAAATATTTCTGCACCCATTTAACGGCGGACAGAATCAAAGATGGGACTTTGAGAATAACTATCTTTCATCTGAATTTAAACATCTAAGTGTTGAAGTAAAGGATGGGAGCCAAGCAGATGGATCTCAAATAGGTGCAAAGAATGGAAAATACCAAAAGTGGAGTTTACAACCAGAACATGACTTCTTCACGCTGTCAAGCAGAATGCATGCTAAGGTCTTAGATGCACCCTCTGACAATAAGGTGCTCATGTGGTCATTTCATGGATTAGATAATCAATTGTGGTTCATGGACGAAAAAAGCATTAGATCAAAGAAATACCCAAACAAGGTCCTTGATTTGCATATGGAAAACTACAAAAAGCGTGGTTTTGGTGATGTTTTTCTCCATCCTTTTCATGGAGGACCGAATCAGAGATGGAATCTTGAAGGGGATAATATCATTTCTGATTACCAAGGCTTACGTTTAGACATAAAACAAAGTAATTATGACGATGGAGCGCTTGTAGGTGGATACAGAAACACTAGTAATATTAACCAGAAATGGAGCATGAATCCAAAAGAAAGGATTTACTTCATAGTAAAAGGAAAGGCAAGTGGAAACGTTTTAGACGCCGCAACCGATACAAAGGTTCATCTTTGGCCCAAGAATGGAAAGGATAACCAGTTATGGTTTTGGGATGGAAATTGCATCAGATCCAAACAACATCCAAATAAAGTCCTAGATTTACGCATGACTGATTATGAGAGGGAAGGATGGGGGAAAATTATTCTACACATTTACAATGCTGGACCAAATCAGCGTTGGAGCATTAATGATGAATTTATTATTTCAAAATATCGTCAACTTAGAATGGATGTATTTGATGGTCGTACAAGTAAACGTTCATTAGTTGGTGGCTTTCCGTACACCGGAAATGACAATCAAAAATGGATCGTTACTGTGCATCAGACGTCAGACTCAAGCTGTTTAGATGAGACAGAATCAGACATATACAATGTTGTTCAGTATATTCCATTTGTCGGAACTGTTTGGGATCAATTTTCGTCCATTGGTTATGCTAGTGCTGGATGCACAAGTGTTGCAGAAGAAAGAGCCGTATCTTATGCAATAGGGGCTGCTTTGGATGTTGCAACAGCATTGACCTGGGGTGCTGCTGTAAAAGCAACAACTGCTGCGAGGATAGCTATCAAAGTCGGTATAAAGCTTGGAGTGAAGCAAGGACTGAAGGCAGCTGCTGTTGTAACTAAACAATCTATTAAGAACGCTTTCAAAACGGTAGCAAAGCAAGGGTTCAAGACTGCTGTAAAGACAGGCCTCAAAAAAAGTGGAAAATTAGTGATCAGAGAAGTAATTGTCGATCCTGCATTATTTCTGAAAAACGTAGGAAAAATAAGCAAGAAAATGTTTCTCCATCCGAGGAGGACATTAAAAGGAATATGGAAAACAGCGGGTCGTAATATTGATGATCTGAAACGTCTCATGAAGCGTTTGAAAGATGATCCATCTTTACCGAAACTAAGATGTACACGTGGTAGTGTTAGCAGTTGCTTAAAGCGTCCAAAATCACTTTACGGTACCCAAAAACACGAAAATATGTTCAAATCACTTGCTGATGAAAAAGCTGCATCAGAACGTGTGGGGCGTAGTGCGCGGAGATTTATGACAAAGAAGTCCGGATCATTTAAAGCAGAATTTTCAGAGGCTCCAGAAAGCGTTAAGCAAAAATTTAACGCTCTTGATTCTGAAATTGATAAAGCTGAAAGATGGGCGGTTTACCAATACACAAAAGAAGCAGGCCCTATCAACAGCTTTGCAGGAAATATTAAAAAAAGGCAGCCTTTGTTTAGAGATAGTGATCCAATTACTAAAGAAACAGAGAGAGGATTATTGGATTCTGTAGACGAGGCTCTCGATCAGGCTGATTTAATTCAGAGTTACCTGAAGAAAAATCCTATAAAAAAAGAGATAAAAGTTTACAGATGGGAGCAAGCTATTGAAGAATATAAAGACGGTTCAATTTATGAAACATACACTTTTAAGTCTACAACAACACGACCTGAGAGGTTTAAAGACAGCGGCTTAGATCTGACAAATGAACAAAAGTACCCAATTGAAATGGAATTCAAGTTGAAGAAATCCGGAACAAAAATAGCCGACCTGTCCGCTTATCCGAGTCAGGAAGAATACTTGATTCCGATTGGAACGCGATTCAACGTGAAGGTGGAAACGCCTAAACCTGGATCAACGGTTCAACGAGTCACGTTAACAGAAATCGTTTAAATATTAACTGTGCTGTATAACTTTTTATATCAAGCAAAAACTACAGCTTACATAATCAGCCACTTCGTAATCGTAAAATATGTTTTCCATTCTGTCAAATTTCGTGTCTGAATTTGAAAACTAAATAATAATATTTACATATACACATTGACACCCTGTTTGATTCAGTTGTTTCTGTGGCTCCTTTTTCTAATTCTCTAAAGTGTTATGAAAAGTTTCAAAACTGACAGAACTACGACTCTTCGGAGCACAGGAATGGCCCATTTAACAGTTGCAGGTAGAAACGTGGCTGGAGTTGAAAACGCTTTGATGCAACCCTTTCTGTTTTATTATGTTAATCACGTTTTTCTTATGCTAACTGGTATTTTTGAAGCAAAATTTCCATAAGAAAACGAAGGAATAAAAACCAGGTGAAGAGAAGTCTCACGTTCATTCAAACGCTAGGATACTATGCCCAAAATTGTATAATGGTCTGTTGTGATTATTTGATTCTTAAATTGGAAATTGTGACCTTTACAAGTTTCTCTTTATCTTGTTGAATGAGCTGTAAAAGAAAAGTGTAATCTAACCCTCGGACGTAAAAGAGGGGGTGGTTGCCACCCCCTCTGAGTTATTTTTTATTTCTTTTTTTCCTAGACGTTAAAACATCAGCACCTGACGTTTTCAGTAGCTGTTTGTTTATCCCTGGTGCGCATTTTGAGACAAGTTTAGTGATGGTCAGTTACTATGGTTACGAGATATGACATCATAAGTAGCAGGTAGTCTAGCCATTTTTTAGTGGAAATGTATGTTTTTCTCAACCTTTTTTCAGCAATAAAAGTAAACCTTGTGGATGAAGTGATACAAAGTGATTATTTATATGTTATTTTACATGTCAAGCACACAAAAATTACCATTTATCGCGATTTTAACCTGATTTCTAATTCTTGGAAAAATCCAAGATGGCGACCATTGTCGGTGACGTCACAGGCCTCCAGCAGCGCTACCACCCATAGAATATACCTCATCTTGTAGAGAAAATCAAAGGCTTTCCACTAAAGGCAAAAAGTCGTATCGAAATACTGCAACATATTAAAAACTCTGGGGAGGGGTTCCATCAACCTGCACCCCCTAATCTAAACCTAATCAACAACGTCCAGCAGTTCACTGTTGTTTTCACATGTCAGGAAAATCTCAGACGATCGGGGATTTTACTTTTTGTAGTCCATCCCAGATTTTGCCGATATATCGGATAATCGCCAAGAAGTCTGTCCCAGATTCTCCCGATTATGAATTTGGCGGGAAATGGAAAGTGTGCCAAAAATTGAAACTTGAACACAAATGTAACAGCATTACAGCAACATGGATGCACTCGAGCTTATGCTGCGTCGTTCTCAATACATCTGTGTTCTTGCACTAGTCAATGCAAGGTTTTCCATTCTGAAAAAAAAAACGGAAGCCAACCAAACGAAGAACGAAGAGGTTTTGGATTAGAGAATATTTGAAAAAAACGGGAGAAATATGGTCAGTTCCACATACTGTTTTTCGAGTTAAGCCTATCAGACAGAGAGTACTTCTTTCGATATATCAGGATGAGTCCAAAACGCTTTGAACATTTGCTCCTTACATTCAAAAGAAAGCATGTAGAAGTCGCGATCCGATATCACCAGCTGAACGATTAGTCGTGACATTGAGATACCTTGCAAGTCGGCGATTCCAAATCCCAGTCTTTCAACTTCCGTATAGGGAAGACCACCATTTCCGTTTTTCGAGAGACGCCATGTTTATTTTTGATAGGGGGACTGGAGCCCAGCAATTTAAGGGATTGGTAAATCGACGTCCCCGACGGTACAAATTTGAGTTTTCATTTGTCGGGAATAGTCGCCTACCAACGCAGAAATCTGGGACGCGTCGCGAAAATAGAAATGCTCCCGATTCTCCAGAATTGTCCCCGTCCATCCCAAACGATTGGGGATATCTACGATTTCGAGTTTTTATTTGTTGGCAAAATCTGGGACAGTCGGGAAAATCCCAGATGATCGGGGATTTTACAGTTTCCCGACTGTCCCAGATTTTGCCCACTAATGAAAACTCGAAATCGTAGATATCCCCGATCGTCTGGGATGGACAGGGACAAATCTGGAGAATCGGGCGCGTTTCTATTTTCCCGACTTGTCCCAGATTTCTGCGATGGTCGGCGATCATTCCCGAGAAATGAGAACTCAAATTTGTACCGTCGGGGACGTCGGCGATGGATTTCGCTCATTACCAATCCCCTAAATTGCTGGGTTCCAGTCCCCCTATCACAAACAGACTTCTGGCGATTATCCGATATATCGGCAAAATCTGGGATGGTCGGCAAAAAGTAAAATCCCCTATCGTCTGGGATTTTCCCGACATATGAAAACCAGGGATTAGAAAATGACAATACTTATCAAGTTATAGCCAAATATGCCCATCTAATGTTTCAAAAAAGAAAACAGATCTTGAACCAAAAGATCTAATTAATTAGTTGATTAACTGATATTATTATTCATTCAAAATATTTCCCCAATTTTGATTGGCTAAAAGCACGCGCATAATTCACCATAACCAGTTAAAGATGACCAAATTTGGAAGAATTTGGAAGAATTTGGAATTTGGAAGAATCTGGGAAATGAAAGGAGGTAAATATACATAGACCCTCGCCAAGATTTGGGTCGAAGGAATAACTCGTATACGAGATATCCGCGGAAATGTTTTACCCAAATTTATACAGCTTTGTATGGAGACGCCATGCTGGTTTTCATCTGGATGAGCTCCAACATGGCGGACGGAAACCAACAGAAACACCTGTTACCGAGTTTTGCTACAGAAGCGTGAATTTACTCCTAGAGGAACTCATAAATATTAAAGTAATACTTTTTCTAACACTTGAACTGTTTAGATAGCAAAATTTCTCGAAAAAGTCACTTTTTTTATCCTAAATGACAGCTCTTTCGAATTCGGTCGTCATGTAAATGCTGCGTCACGCAAAAGCTTAGAAAATCAAGCGTACTCTATTACAAAACCAAGCACCCTTTTGAATCGAAAATTTGTTTGAAAATTTGAAAGTTTTGAGCTGCTCTAATACACCATGAAAATAAAATCTCAGTGGGATCGATAGTTTTGTCGTTTGAATTTTAGTGACGTCATGTGAAAACCAACAATACTATACCATACCATACCATACCATACCATAGCATACCATACCATACTATACTATACTATACTATATTATTAAAAACTGAATCATTTGATAATGCAATTCTAGCGTTTTGATTGGCTTAGCCTTTATGGTATATGAGCCATTATACCATGCTCTACATATATGGTCGGTGTACGCGTTAGTTTAAAATTGGAAGCTAGCTGAGATTTTTTTTCGTGAACGATAGAATGGCGCCCGAATACTAGAAAATGCAATTTCATCGGGAAAAACAAACAAACAAAAAAGCCACAAGAGCTTGTTTGAAAGTTTATCGAAAAACGCATGAAAATACATGGAACTAAAGTACCTTGACCAGCTACGAAAGAAGACAATAATAATAAAAAATAATAATAGAGGTATGTTTATAGTGGAAGGTGCACTTAGCTAGTCAGCTAATTTACAGGCACTCCACTCAAATATTTAGAAACAAATAATTCAAATACAACATAACAGGATTAAAAACCCCAACTGGCAGAAGGCAACCAGTTGGCTATTTACAAGCGGGGCCGAGAATTTGAACTCGGGACGACCGAGCACAAATCCAGCAAGTGGCCAGAGCAGGACTCGAACCCGGGACCGCCGGATTGCGAGTCCGACGCGCTGACCACTCGGCCACGCTGCCTCCCGACAAGTGTTGTTTCTTCATGATCTCGAGGCCACTCGCCGAGTCTCTCGCCGATAGATAACTGCGGCTTGTTTATCCGACATGAAGAATATAAATCACAAGCAACCAGCTGCAAATACAGGCTATGCAGCCATTCACTACAGCAATCGAGGCGTCAGTATAGCTTCTTTTCTCGTTCAGCAAAACCAGCTGGTGGCTTCAAACAACTTCATAACAAGCGACCGAGGTAACAGTTTTTCTCCGGTATTCTTACTTTTGTAACTGCACCCAAAATCCAAATTAGCAGTAATTTAGACGGCTGTCACTTGAAAATTCTTTTTCTTCACATTATCAGCCAGCTTTTTTTAACTGTCCCGCTGTGTAAAATCCTAGAATCCCGATGAGTTTTCGCTACAATGTTTTGATTTTTCATTCATCCAGTCCGCGCGTTGACGCGTTGACAGTTTTGATAAACGTGTGACATATGAAGAGCGGAAGGCCCTTGTCTTTTCCGGTTTGTTCTAACAAAATTAAATCGGGGAGATTCAATGAGATTTTGTGGGCGTTTTTAATAAACAATTATTCCACTCGCGCTTGTTGGATATGAGATGATCATAGCCGACTAGGCGCTACGCGCCTCGTTGGCTATCCACTAGGGAGTTTACGATCCAGATAATCCAGAAGACGACGCCGTCTGTCCTGGTGGCCGCCTCGCGCCTGGGCACTTGTATGTAAATGGTGTTACGATCATTCATTGCAGGCAGCGGCGATGACTCGTTTTGGCTGGAAAATTTACTTGGCACCCGCGTGAAATGTAGTGGCTGAAAACTTGCTCACCAAACATCGATTCGATACAGACAAGCATAGTCCGAAAAAAATTATTAGTAATAACAAATTATGCAAAAATTAAGAGAGACCAGGATTTCCCTTCTTTATGCTTATTATTCGAGCATCATCAACGATGAAGAATTCGTCTTGCTGTACGATATCAACACTGCAAAAAGCCGTGACTTTCCCTACTGGAATTACGAGGCCTCTGAACTCGACAGCATGTCCGACGATGGGTGTCAAGCGGAATTTCGCTTTTATAAGAACGATGTCTATGACTTAATGGCGGTCTTGGGTTTTCCAGAGACATTTACGTGCTACAATGGCTTGACGGTAGATGGTACTCAGGCTCTTTGCATCTTCTTAAAAAGATTTGCGTACCCTTGCCGTTATCTCGATATGATTCCGAGCAGGGCGGATAAAGGTTGGGCGGTGAAACGAACGTGTCCGAGCAAAAAGGTGTGATGCAATGGACTGGGACTATGTTAGAAATGTCGCTTGTTTTCGACTTCGGTCAGGGCTTGCGATGTGGTTTGTACATTAGACACTGCCGCTGTCACTGAATTTAGCGGCTTGATTTGTTTTCTTGCACTTCTTCCTCGTTCCTTTGTGCTGGTACGCTGTCTCCGAGAGGCAAATGTTGCTATTTTTTGCGGGAGGTTTAGTTGGAGTAGACAAACATCTCTTTCAAAGGGTTTCTTTTATTACTTCCATGACTCTACCACTGAATTATATTTTCGTTCTGCTACTCGCCAATGTCGATGTTATTCCAAAACAAAAACAACTAAGTACTGTCTAAAACACGAAGGAAAATCTCATCCATGTCATCCATGGCAAAACTAAAAGACAGCAGATCGTGTTTCATAACTAGATGACGTGTATTTTATAAATGCGTGCAGCTCGTGCAAGGTGAAATTATGCTAATTTCAATCACCATCATCCTTCTTTTTAATTTTGAAAAAAAAAAAATCTCATACGTCTTTCTGTTTCTTCGAAACTTCAAAATTAGTTTCCCCTCAGTTTTTACTGTTTACCTTGCTTTGTTTTAGAGAGAAAAACGGAGAAAAAAACTTACAACTGACCTCAATAAATTTTGTTTACATGCGGTTGCCAGATTTGCAACGCATTGCGCGAATCGCCATAGCGCGGTCCGAGAAGCAAAGTTTGAAGAAATATAACGCCACTATATCAATATATATCAATCTAATTTTTTGTCATGTTATACAAAATTTATCCCTCTTTAACATATGTAAAAATTGAGGTTAAGAAGTGTTAAGCTTTTGCAAAGGAAACGGCGAAAGACGATGAGGTGATATTTAGTGGAAGGAGGAGGTATTCAACACTTTCAAATTAAACTCAAATTTTGGCATTATACGACCAACAAGTTTGACTTATAGACGCACAGACACAAACATATGAAACTGTTTATTGATATTGTTATAAAACGAATTTACCTATTTAACATTGTAGCCTGAAATTACAGAAAGAAAATATGATTTCCGGTTTGCAAAAAGGAAAATTTCGCTGGCCTTCAAGCGCACCGGAAGAGCGGAAATAGCGCTCGTGCCAGTCCTACTCCGCATCACACATTAAATGAAGAGCGGAGCGCTCGTTTTACCGCCCAACCTTTATCCGCCCTGACTCGGAGGTTTGCTAGGCCCGTGCCTCAGCTCTGTATGACAAGTACCATGGTTATGGACTATTTATATACGCACTGGAGTCATTTGCTAACCTCGCTAAATCAGCCTTGGCTTTCGCCTGATAATTTGGAGACATTCGCTATTAATGCTACTTTTCAAGCTGGAGGGAGCTTTGCGGAATTGTTTTGGATTTGTCGATGGAACGGTCAGACCTGTTTCCCGACTCGGCAAAAATCAAAGAGTACTGTATAACGGACACAAAAAAGTTCACGCCATAAAATTTCAATCCGTTTCTGTTCCAAATTGTCTGGTAGCCAATTTGTATGGACCGGTAGAGGGAAAACGACACGATAGTTCAATGCTAGCGGAGTCTAGTTTATATAATCAACTGGTATTATATTCTAGGGCCACAAATGGAGACCCATTATGTTTATATGGTGATCCTGCGTACCCTCATCGTCCGCAGTTGCAAAGTCCTTTTAAAGGAGCAAGGCTTACTCAGAACGAGATGGACTGGAATAGTGCCATGAGTAGTGTGAGGGTATCAGTTGAATGGGTTTTCAAGGACATCATTAATTACTGTAAATTCTTAGATTTTAAAAAGAATTTAAAAGTACAACTCAGTGCAGTAGGAAAAATGTACATTGCTTGCCTTTACTTCACAATGCTAGGTGCTGCTTATATGGTTCAACAACTTCCAAATATTTTGAAGTCCAACCACCAACACTACAAGAATACTTTTTGTAAACAGGTGACACTCCTATATCATAGCTCCCAGTTCTGTCGATAAGCTTCAGTGCTTTACATATGATTTATTGTACTACACTTCAATAAAACCAGGTTGCCCTTTTGAGTCGTAACCTCTTTATCTGGTGTTTGAAGTCAGGAAATAAATGGGTAGGATAGCCTCCAGTATTAGGATAAAATTATTAACGAGTTTGTTATTATAAACATATACAAAGGTAACAATGGCAGTGAAATTTTGAAAAGCACACATTCTTATGAAAACGTGCTATGTTAGATATCAGGATCCTCTCACAGCGTAATCAGACTAACACCGTTCCTCGAAAAGTCATGGCAATCTTAACAGTCAAAACTATATACGATTTTTCTGAACGTTCATAACAGTTTAGAGTTGTCAAGCATGGTTATTTCATTTTTAAATCACAAATACAACCTGCTGTTTCAATATTTCTTATTAATTCCAACTTAAAGTACACTCGATTTCAACGATTCTTTGAAATGACTTGCATTGTGCATGACGGGGAAAAAGTGTTAGGCTGGCAAGTAATCCGTGCTGTGTTCCCCGCACAGTGCGAAGCTAAGAAAATAGTGGTCAGTGCAGTTTAGTAGTTCATGGCACTCATATTGTTATTCAGCAACTGATGACCGAAAAATCTTGCCAGAGCATCTCTGCCAGAGAACCTTCCCAACCCCATATCTTGCTCACCTTGAGCAAGCCTATCACCTGATTCAAAGAAATAGTGCATATTTTTATGGAAAATAAATGTAATTATACTAAACAAAAAGTTGATTAACATGATGGTGATCAATTTCATGCTTTTCTGTGCTCAACTGGCTTGTTCTTCTTCTCTTATTTTCTTCTTTTGTTCTTTCTCCAGGAAGATGTAGTGATCACGTACTGACTTCTGGTTTACTGTAAACTTGGAAGATTCATACAGATTGAGCGATTCACTTATTCTTTCCCAAACTTGGCCCCTTTGTTTACTCCCTCGTTTGAAATTCCAAGGTTCAAACAGGTACATTTCTTGCACCAACAATTCATTGTGTTTATTGGTCCACACCATAGGCTTTTGAGCACTACAAATTTTATGCAAATATACTGTTATGAGATAAGGCAGAGATATTTCGTATTTTTACATCTTACTTTAATGTCATCTAGTATGGAAAGCTTGAAGGCCATGTGTGAGTTAAAAGACCTATCTTAGATTCATGGATGATCCATAACTTTCATGTAACACTCTTATTCAGAGATATTTGAGATCACTGCTGGGTACACAAAGAAATATTTTAAAAACTTAAGTAGTCTATCTTCTAGATATCACGGACCATTCTTACGGGGATAAATAGTGAAAAAAAAAAGGTCGATTAAAATCTTGAGCATGATAACAACAACAGTGAGAGTTCAAGTTTACATTTAATTTAAACTAAAACGCCCTAACTGTAGCAAAAGCTGATTAAAACTTTCAAATAGAAGTTGTCTAAGATGGAAGCAAAGTAATTTTCGCTGTCCTTTTCAAATGTTTCAGTTTTTGGCATTCATGAATGTTTGTAATCAATGAACTGAATCAACGATTCGAAAAAAGAGTGTTGTTTTAAAGACGATCAAGTCATTGGTTTCTGGCGTAAAATTTCATTCTATTCTGTACCAAATAATGAGATTTAATTAAACTTATTCTAACATAATTTTGCGAGCGGGATAAGCCGTAAAAACGACATCAAAAGTGCATTTGTGTTTACAACATAAGATAAAGTCTACCCTAATTAAAAATAGGGTTTGGCTCACAAAAGGAAGCAAAATTTCGCAGACACTTACTTTTTTGAACAGACTTTGTCTAAAGCCTCCATTTTCCACGACGCCTTCAAAGAAGCAGATCTTCCCGCCTCGCCGTCAGCCGACGCTGTCACGACACCACAAACGCATGCGCAATGGTGAACCTTTGGTCACGGCGTCGCAAAATTTTCGGATCGTAAACTCCTTACTATCTCATATCCAACGCGCCCTCGTGGAATAATTGTTAACTATACTATACCATACCATACCATACCATACCATACCATACCATACCATACCATACCATACCATACCATACCATACCATACCATACCATACTATACCATATACTATACTATACTATACTATACAATACTATACTATACTATACTATACTATACCATACCATACCATACCATACTATACTATACTATACTATACTATATTATACTATACTATACTATACTATATTATTAAAAACTGAATCATTGGATAATGCAATTCTAGCATTTTGATTGGTTTAGCCGTTATGGTATATGAGCTAATATACCATGTTCTCCATATATGGTCGGTCTACGCGTCAGTTTAAAATTGGAAGCTAGCTGAGATTTTTTCTCGCGAAGGATAGAACTGCGCCCGAAGCAAATCGTTTTAATTCATTTCTTAGAATACTAGAAATGCAATTTCAACGAAAGAACAAAGACAAAAACAAACAAAAACGCCACAAGAGCTTGTTTGAAAGTTTGTCGAAAAACACATGGAACTAAAGTACCTTGACCAGCTACGAAAGAAGACAAGTGTTGTTTCTTCATGATCGCGAAGCCATTCGCCGATCGAGCCACTCGCCGATAGATAACTGCAGCTTGTTTATCCAACATCAAGAATATAAATCACAAGTAACCAGCTACAAATACAGGCTATGCAGCCATTCACTAAAGCAATCGAGGCGGCAGTATAGCTTCTTTTCTCGTTCAGCAAAACCAGCTTGTGGCTTCAAACAACTTCATAACAAGCGACGAGGTAATACCAGTAGTTTTTCTCCGTTGTTCTTACTTTTATAACTGCACCGAAAATCCAAATTCATAGTAATTTCGATGGCTGTCACTTAAAAATTCCTTTCCTTCACATTATCTGCCAGGTTTTTTAAGCTGTTCTGCTGTGTAAAACCCTAGAATCACGATGAGTTTTTAAAAAACTAATGTTCATCGCACAATGTTTTGATTTTTCATTCATGCAGTCTAGGCGAGCCCGTTCGGGCGTTGACAGTTTTGATAGACGTGTGACATGTCAATAGCGGAAGTCCCTTGTCTTTTCCGGTTTGTTCTAGTCGGGGCGATTCAACGAGATTTTGTGGGCGTTTTTAATAAAACAATTATTCCACTCGGGCTTGTTGGATATGAAATGATTATAGCCAACTCGGCGCTATGCGCCTCGTTGGCTATCTATCATCTCATATCCAACGCGCCCTCGTGGAATAATTGTTAACTATACTATACTATACTATACTATACTATACTATACTATACTATACTATACTATACTATACTATACTATACTATACTATACTATACTATACTATACTATACTATACAATACTATACTATACAATACTATACTATACTATACTATACTATACTATACTATACTATACTATACTATACTATACTATACTATACTATACTATACTATACTATACTATACTATACTATACTATACTATACAATACTATACTATACTATACTATACTGTTCATCTCATTGCAAGCACAAACGACTACACAAGATGGTTTTGCCAGTTCAATTCTTCTTTGAAGTTTCTTAGGTCCAACGTAGGGATTTGCTATAAGGTAGACACCCCCTGCAGAAACCCACTGTGTCTGTCAAGCGTTTTTTTAATTGATGAACGCTTCGGATTTTGTAATCTGGGTAGAAGCAGGAAGTAGAACTTCTGAATGCCAGTGAGAATAAAACTATGAAAAGACGTTATTTACGACATCGGAGAGGAGGCCAATTCTTTTACATGTTAAGATACATATTGACATTGCTGTATACAATCCGCAATAAATATACGATCAATTCTGCTCGAGACCAGGAAGGCCAATAGGTGGTCTTTGTGTACATCGACGATGTTTGTATATTGCAGACATTGCGCTCCCGGTTTAAACTGATTTAATCCCAACAAGTCAAATCGTCACGAGACGGGTGCAGACTTTATCGTGGCCAAACGCGAATTAAATCAAGTTCGAAGCAATAGCAATAGCAACCCTGCAGTTGCTGCCGGATCCTAATGCAGTCTCTTCGGTAGCGTCATAAGTCACAATGATGATCCTTAGCTTCAGAGGGTCCAGTAGATCCAAGAAGCCACCAAAATGTCACGGACAGTTACTCTTGAACATTGTTTGATGATCGCTTACTTTTGTTGATCCTTTAGTTGTTGTTTGGGAAGGACAACATGTTAGGAAACGGTAGGAAGGGGCAGTGTCGTTAGGAAGCAAGCCGTTATTTCCACAGCTATAAAGACCCTTCTTTAAAACTGTTTCTGATAACAAGAAACCTATTTTAAAGGATTGTAGGGACATGTTTTCTAAGGTTTCAGGGTTTCTTTGAAAAAAGGATTTCAGTGGTACAAGCCTGTATTATAGTGTGTTTGTAAATTGCATCTTAGCACTGCCATTACTGACTTGCTTGAATAGATGGTCGATAGGAAACTAATACCTGTTGTCAAACAAGCCACCTACATCAGAATGTATTCAGGAATCCTGGGTAAAATTGCCATCACTCTGTCACCAGTTTTAATTCCAACTATCGAAGACAACTCATTGGCAGCCCTAATACAAAGAGAAAGAAAACTAAATATTATAATAATTACTTTAGGGAAAAACTGGAAGGTTAGCGTAAATAATATTTCATGCGCTAGCAGTCAATGGGTGAGTGGTCCTTTCTTTTTAGATTTCACCGCATTACTATTGCACAGTAAACGTCACAGAGGAACGTCATGCTATCATTGTGAATGAGAAGAGCTAAGGAAAAACATGTTTCTTCCTGTTTTTCGATATAAAGAAATTATGAAATATTGCCAGTTTCCGTACATTTAGTGGACTACAACACATCTTCAACACTTTTCAAATATTATAAAATATCTGAATTCTTATTATGCATTTTATGGAGACATTTTGCACTACCAACAGATGGAGTATGCTCTCTAGGTGTTGAGGGATACGAAGACTAGAGAAACAAGATGGAAGCCACGTCTTATTACACCCCCAAAGTATGCTGGGAGCATGATATAACACATGCACGTCATCTGTGCAAATTTCATGGAATAATTAAGGCCACAAAATCGAGCACAGTCGGTTAAAAATGTTTCATATTTTATGGCCGCTAATCATTTATCATTTAAATCTCCAGATGTTTTGTTTCTTACTTTTTAGACCAAAAAGCGACATCTTGAAAACTTCACTTGACTTCATTTGTGTTGCCATCAATCCAATACAGAGCTAAGGTATCACTATTTCTTTTGCCTTCGTGCATTTCAATATAGAACCATTTGACATCGACTCCTTTTAGTAATGATAACATTATTACACATAGTAATTATCTCACTCATCTGTTTTGTGACCAATGTTTCACCCTGCAAACATAGCCCCTTTCTCTTCTTGAGTGAGGAGGAGAAAAAGAAGCTCTGCCTAAATTAAATAGTGTCAAGTTTTTTCATTCCCCGGCAGCCCTTATCTCTGGACTTGACATTTTTTTTTTATCTCGTCAAACCGTTCTCTTTAAATGCGAGCATTCGTTTATTGATAAACCGATGGTCATAATTGAGACCGCTGTAACAAGCACACGGGCATTAGGCATGGGGCATCCTCAGAGGGCAGTCAGTCGGGGTCGGGAGAAAAAGTGCGACGAAAGTTTTCAAGCACAGGCGTAAGAGTACCTGGGTACCGACTCTTATCAGACCACTTCCAAACGCTCAAGCGAATGCTGGCTCCTGATTGGACACAACAAATGTTTTGTATTATATTGCTCAATCGGTGAACAGTATCTCCTGAGTTCTTTTCGTGTGCGCATACACGACGGCCATTAACGCTGCTAGTTTCTGACTTTATAGTAAGGACAATGATGCCTGGCTGGAAAAAAGTTCACTTCCGTTCGACAAATTGGGTGAAACACGAATTTCAAAATAATTTCTCAAAACATTAAAAAAAGGCATTAGCGCGATTTTCTGTATGACCTTGAAAAATGGTTTCGGTAAGTGTTAGTTATTTATTTGATCAGACAATGAATGAAAAGATTAAAACATGGACTCTTCGTTTTCCCGCCAAAGAAAACCCTAATATGGAGAAGGCATTGTTCCATTGGCCAGTCGTGTTGCAGTATGACGTCAAAGCGAAGTATCGGGTTGATTTCTAAAAAGCTCTCTGGCGTGACGTTTTTACACCCGAGCGTTCGCTTAACAAACCAAAGGCCACGCGCGTTTGTATCCGCTCGATAAACCAATAAAATCGCTTTATTCCCGTTTGTTTGTTTTTTCTGTTTTGTTTGCACCTTTTCATTTCAAGGTCCTACAAAAGTCGCTCTAATAACACAGCAAATACAGAAACAGGCACGGATTAAACGGATTGATATTGAAACACTGAATTGTAGGTTTTTGAAAAGTTGTTAGCCTAACAGTTTTTCAAAGTTCATTTTTGTTGTTTGTAACGGTTCATACGATGCTTAGGAGGTATATTTGTTGGTCAAGAAGCTGTGATTTTGTCATTTACAAGTAATTTTTTTGTTAACGTTATGTTCCATAGTCCGCATACTGGAAGTGTAACAAAACTTTAATGTATCGACCATTAAACGGCAAGGGTCCAAGCATGATCCTTTGTTGGACCTCTGCTGGAAAAAAACCCATTTCGCCTTTCCTATTTTGCGCTGTTTAGGACAATCGATGATTCTGAGGCCACCAGCGAGGATTTTGTGATCTTTTATATCGAAGGCCTTTTCTTAAGTTGAATAAAACAATTCTTACAGTGGGGTCAGATCCACCAGTTTGTCTGGTTCAGAAGAGAAGCATGTTGAGAAACGCATGCGTGTTAGAGGTCTTGGGCAAGGACTCAAACTGGCTATCACCTATTTTTCTCAACATAGCTGGTCGTACATGCTTTAAGAGTTTTAGGCTTTTCAGATAAAAATGGTGTTACTGTTATAGGGCCGCAAAAGTCTTCACGTCCTTCACCGGCCTTTGTTTCTCTGAGGCCTGTTTCAAACGTTGTGCTACTGCCGTGTTAAGCTGGCTCGACTGTAGCTCGACTACAGCACGACACTAGCACGACTTGGTTTCAGACTTCGAATTTAATTCACACAATGACAGTCGAATGGAACGGCTGTTGTCAAAAACAAAACACAAAAATAAAGAAACGGTTTAGGAAACTTTTAAATATATTCTAATGTATTTATAATTTATGAATTGAGTTCGGCACGGCGTTTGAAACTAAGTCGAGTTACTGCCGCGTAGCACGGCAAGCCTTGCCGCGCTACACGGCAGTCACGACTTGGTTTCAAACGTCGCGCTACTGCCGTGCTAAAGTCGAATTTAATTCGATCAATTGAGTTCGGCACGGCAATAGCGCGACGTTTGAAACGGGCCTGAAGGGATGTACCAGAATAGCGACATTCTTTTCCTATAGTCATCTAGGATGAAAGATTCAAGTATAGACTGAACGGGCACTAAGGGTGGAACAGTTGTCTAAAAGTCCTTCTTGGCGAAAAAAGACCTTTGTGATATTTTTGGCCAAGTTCAAACCGTTAGACCCTTTGTAATCCGATCTACACGTCTTATGCTCACATTTAACGTGATTTATATGGAAAAGAAACATAGTAAGGTTTCTTTGACCAAAGGCCCCCTTAAAGTCGTTTGATAAGATTTTTAAAGTTGGATTAATTCATGGATTGATTTGGATCGTTGAGGAGATCGCATAACACATCCTTGTTTGGATGATTGTCTCAAGGATGGACCGTGACCTTCTCGGAACAGGTGTTCGCAGTGCACATCTGACAACCTCCTGGAGGAAAGGTCGCATAGCGAAGCGGTTACTAACCCATAAGTCTCTTTTTTTAATTTTTAATTTTAAAGTAAAGCGTAAACCGCGGGTTGCAGCTCTACCGACAGATGGTCCTATAAACCATGCGGGGGTCGTTGAATGGACTCTTTATGAAGGTTAATGTGGAGATTTATCAACACTAAGTCAAGAGTTCCTATGCCGCGAGTCGGAAATTCACAGTCTGTTTCAAGCTGTAGCAGGTTATCCCCTGACCATATCGTAACTAAAATTCTCACATAATTAATTTGCAGTGCCACACAGTATTTCACTTCCGTGTAATTTAGCAGATCAACTAATTATAAAGGACAAGAAAAAATTTATTTATTTCAATTTTTTTTGTTGTTACAACTGACTTAATTTAATACGTACACAACCCGAAAGTAGCACAGGCTATTCGAGGCGAGTTGTTCAAGTATAATTAACTAGATTATTAAATTCTAAAAAAATATTACAGAAACGTAGGAAAACGACAATGATGGAGGCCGTAGAAGAGCAGGCAAAAGATTTAACATGAAAAGGGAATTCTTGTTAAAAAAGGGAGGATGTATAGAACAGACTAGTGCGAGAAGTCCGTTCTGTCTTTTGTACTTAAATCATACCAGTGGAATGTAAAGGCGATCTATGTAGTACGTTCATATCGATCTGTTGTGGAATGTCTTACTAGACCTCTATTCTTGAACAAACGTTTCTCCTACCTGTTATAGCAGTTTGAAGATTCCTAACAACCAGTGAGTTTGCGATTGATTTCAACGTCGGCAGGTACCCATAGAAAGGCTGAGTACTAAACCTGAGTAAAACGAAATCTCTCGTAGACTATACTTAGAATTGTACGGTGTAAACACTTGACACAAATGATTTTGGGGGAGGTACCCTGTTTAATCTTGGACATTAATGAAGTCAATCTACGATTATAAAGTGACAGTAACTTAGCTTCATGAAATAACTGTGCGCAAATCATTGTTGTGTCACACTACATGGCTCTAAGAGCTCAGTCTCTTGAAAGTCTTTTCAATTTTTTAGCTTTACTGGGGCGACAAAAGTGCCAAACTAAGCGCCAATACGAAAGGCTGAGTAAAATATCAGTGACATATATAAGTGTTAAATTTGGTAAATCGCTACTTGCTGTTTGTCGCAACTTAGAGAATTTCTATTTACATTCGTCATGAATATAGGATGGCGTCTGCACATGCGGATCAACTTGCCAAAAGTTCAATCTATCGATTCAATTGGTTTTGACTGGTGTCATTTTATGATTTGCATTTTTACTGTGAAAATTAGAGTTTGAGTGTCTGCTGTCAAATGGTATAATGGCGACCACTTTACTTCAATTCTATTTTTCTGCTAAAATTATCATTGACCGACATTCTTTTTTATTCGAGCTAATTAGTGATGTTTAGAAGTGGAACAATATCATAGTTCTGATGGAAGGCTTATTAACCGCTGAGTTAACTGACTGCCATAAAACAAAATGTTACTTATACCTCCGTAGATGGCTTTCTTGGATGATACTAATTTCTGTTAGCATTCTTGTTGGCTGATATTGCTGCAATACAGCTGTTCATCACCAAATATATTCAAATAATAAAAAACTAAGCTGAACAAACAGGAAGGAAAAAAAATACTATGCTTCAGGAAGAATGTAAAGTCCAGTCTTTGGATTCTATACCGCTCTGACCGCATAAGGCAAAGACCGAGTGAAAAAATATGTTTTTCGTCCGGGAGACTGTAAAAAGAGAGCGGGGGAACATTAATTTTTTCTTTTTTCTGTCTTTTTTTTTTGTCATTTCTTATTTTTTTATTATTATTGCCAAATAAATGCTTTCTTTAAAAAGAAAAAAAAACCTTCTCCTAGGATAAGTTGTAGTTTTTCGGTCAAGTATTAATACATACATGAAACGGAGATATTGATTTTAAAAACAATATGTAACGTACATAAAAAACGTCAATATAGGACTCAGTATTTAAGAAATGATTCGTTTTTTTCTGTTCTCTTCGCGTTATTGAAAATATCAGTATCATTCCACGATAATTCTGATCAATGTTACAAAAGGAAAAACCGGCCAAGTGTTAAAATTAACAAAAAAATTCAATAAACATACATACATGGATCATACTTTTTCCAAAGTAAAAGGAGGATTAGTTACTTCTCATTCAATTTTGGTGATTCTTCTCTCTGTTACTCAAAGGTGCCGTAATGATTTCTTTGTATTGATGGATTCTGGTTAGATCACGTCTTGTAATCAAACAGTGCATGCGCAGGGCATGCATGTTAAATTCAACCGCCCTCTCGTCACAAGAGCTTCGATCATTTTGGGTCAGCGTCCGGGATCGAGAGAGGTAGGTACTTTAAGTAGGGTTATTAAAGTGTATCAAGAATGCATTTAAAATAATGTATCGACATGTATACCCATGTAATGTCATGTATAGCCATGTATAGCCATGTATTACCATGTATAGCCATGTATTGCCATGTATACCCATGTATAGCCATGTATTGCCATGTATTGCCATGTATTGCCATGTATACCCATGTAGAGCCATGTATACCCATGTATAGCCATGTATTGCCATGTATTGCCATGTATTGCCATGTATACCCATGTATAGCCATGTATACCCATGTATAGCAATGTATTGCCATGTATTACCATGTATTGCCATGAATTACCATGTATCACCATGTATTACCATGTATAGCCATGTATAGCCATGTATTGCCATATATTGCCATGTATAGCCATGTATTGCCATGTATTGCCATGTATTGCCATGTATAGCCAAGTATTACCATGTATACCCATGTATAGCCATGTATTGCCATGTATTACCATTTATCACCATGTATTACAAAGTATGGCCATGTATAGCCATGTATTGCCATGTATTACCATGTATTGCCATGTATTACCATGTATCACCATGTATTACCATGTATAGCCATGTATAGCCATGTATTGCCATGTATAGCCATGTACTGCCATGTATACCCATGTATAGCCATGTATTGCCATGTATTACCATGTATCACCATGTATTACCATGTATAGCCATGTATAGCCATGTATTGCCATGTATAGCCATGTATTGCCATGTATAGCCATGTATTGCCATGTATACCCATGTATGGCCATGTATACCCATGTATAGCCATGTATTGCCATGTATTACCATGTAGAGCCATGTATTACCATGTATCACCATGTATTACCATGTATAGCCATGTATAGCCATGTATCGCCATGTATACCCATGTATACCCATGTATAGCCATGTATTGCCATGTATTACCATGTATTGCCATGTATTACCATGTATCACCATGTATTACCATGTATAGCCATGTATAGCCATGTATTGCCATGTATTACCATGTATAGCCATGTATTGCCATGTATTGCCATGTATAGCCATGTATTGCCATGTATACCCATGTATTGCCATGTATAGCCATGTATTGCCATGTATAGCCATGTATTGCCATGTATACCCATGTATAGCCATGTATACCCATGTATAGCCATGTATTGCCATGTATTACCATGTATAGCCATGTATTACCATGTATCACCATGTATTACCATGTATAGCCATGTATTGCCATGTATACCCATGTATAGCCATGTATACCCATGTATAGCCATGTATTGCCATGTATTACCATGTATCACCATGTATTACCATGTATAGCCATGTATAGCCATGTATAGCCATGTATTGCCATGTATAGCCATGTATTGCCATGTATACCCATGTATAGCCATGTATACCAATGTATAGCCATGTATTGCCATGTATTACCATGTATAGCCATGTATTACCATGTATCACCATGTATTACCATGTATAGCCATGTATAGCCATGTATACCTATGTATAGCCATGTATACCCATGTATAGCCATGTATTGCCATGTATTACCATGTATTGCCATGTATTACCATGTATCACCATGTATTACCATGTATAGCCATGCATAGCCATGTATTGCCATGTATTGCCATGTATAGCCATGTATTGCCATGTATTGCCATGTATAGCCAAGTATTGCCATGTATACCCATGTATAGCCATGTATTGCCATGTATTACCATGTATCACCATGTATTACCATGTATTACCATGTATAGCCATGTATTGCCATGTATTACCATGTATTGCCATGTATTACCATGTATCACCATGTATTACCATGTATAGCCATGTATAGCCATGTATTGCCATGTATTGCCATGTATAGCCATGTATTGCCATGTATACCCATGTATAGCCATGTATTGCCATGTATTACCATGTATCACCATGTATTACCATGTATAGCCATGTATAGCCATGTATTGCCATGTATACCCATGTATAGCCATGTATTGCCATGTATAGCCATGTATTGCCATGTATATCCATGTATAGCCATTTATACCCATGTATAGCCATGTATTGCCATGTATTACCATGTATTACTATGTATTACCATGTATTGCCATATATTACCATGTATAGCCATGTAATGCCATGTATTGCCATGTATACCCATGTATAGCCATGTATTACCAGCTATAGCCTTGTATTGCCATGTATACCCATGTATAGCCATGTATACCCATGTATAGCCATGTATTGCCATATATAGCCATGTATTGCCATGCATTACCATGTATAGCCATGTATATCCAGGTATTGCCATGTACTGCCATGTATTACCGTGTATTGCCATGTATTACCATGTATACCCATGTATTGTCATGTATACGCATGTATTGCCGTGTATTACCATGTATAGCCATGTATACCCATGTATACCCATGTATAGCCATGTATTGCCATGTATAGCCATGTATAGCCATGTATACCTATGTAATGCCATGTATTGCCATGTATTACCATGTATAGCCATGTATTGCCATGTATTACCATGTATTGCCATGTATTACCATGTATTGCCATGTATTACCATGTATCGCCATGTGTTACCATGTATAGCCATGTATACCCATGTAATGCCATGTATTGCCATGTATTACCATGTATAGCCATGTATACCCATGTAATGCCATGTATTGCCATGTATTACCATGTATAGCCATATATAGCCATGTATTGCCATGTATATCCATGTATTGCCATGTATTACCATGTATAGCCATGAATACCCATGTAATGCGATGTATTGCCATGTATTACCATGTATAGCCATTTATTGCCATGTATTACCATGTATCGCCATGTATTACCATGTGCTGCCATGTATCGCTATGTATTACCATGTATTACTTTATATTACCATGTTTTGCCATGTATTACTATGTATTACGATGCATTACTATGTTTTGCTATGTATAGCGATGTATTGCCATGTACTGCCATGTATAGCCGTGTACTGTCATGTACAGCCATGTACTCCCATGTATTACATGTATTGACATGTACTGCGTGTATAGCCATGTATTGCTATGTAGTGCTATTAATTACTCTGTATTGCTATGTATTGCCATGTGTGGCCATGTATTGACTATGTATGTCTTAAGTTGGATTAAATTCTTTTTTTTTTGTCTGTTACATAGTTCAGGGGTAGCCCAAGAAAAGGCTTTTTTTCCGAATGAAAATATAGTTTTTTGGGGAGGGCAACGTTCTTTCAGGATTGTAAACGGATACTAGTTGACAAAGATATTCAAGTGCCATTCGTCACTTTAGAAAATACCCTCGTTGAAAGTCAGTTAAGAACTTATTGGTCCCGAAGAGCAGGGATTTCGCCCATAAGGCGAAATTCCGAGGAAGCACTCTATTAGCTCGCCCGTTTATTACGGAAAGTACTTACAGTTGTTATTTATAGTCAGTATACCAGAAAAAAAATATTGATTTCTTTTATAGATAGGGGCCGCAAGGGATAGGGGGTTAACGTTTTCTTTTGTTCGCGCCCGTAGTTAAGACAGAAAATCCCGAAGGACCGCAAATTGGTAGTTTTTTTGGTCATACTTCGTTTACCTTTTGCGTTACGCGTTATCAGTGACATTTTGTGGAGCAGCTGTTTTCAAAGTTTCGCTCGTTAAGCGCAGTTGAAGTTATAAGTTTCGTATAATTGTGTGTATATAAACTTTTGAAGAGTTTGCCAGACATGAGTTCACATATATATTTGATTGGAAACAATTTGCTGCAAACTCTTTCTCCCATTAAGATATATTTTGTAAGGTTTATTTGAAAGAGAATGAAATCTCAATCTTCAGGCAATTGAGCCTTCTTTCAGAACTTTTTAGAATAGCCTTTTAATATTAAGGATAGATAGATAGTGTCTCAGTTGATAAAACATAACAGGTAGAACTCGGGGGTACGTTTGATTTCAAACAAAAATGAAGGCTTAATATCTGAAAAAAAGCATGGTTTTAAAATGTAAGAATAATAATGATAAAAAATCTACAATGTAGGACTATTTCAAGCATTGTCGTATTGTACGGAGCCCCGTAAGGGTTATGCAAATTTACACTCTCGTTTTCTGGTTTCGCGACTTTTTTTATTCGCGACATTCTATTTTTTTGCAATTTTTTTTCGTGGCATTTCATTTGTCGCGTCTTTCTTTTGCGACTTTTTCTTTCCACTGTTTTCATCGCTGCCCGCTCAGAGACGTAGTCAATTGCTAAAAAAAGTGGCGACATTGTTGTAACTGGTTTATTGCCCCTAAATAAAGCAGTTCTACCAAGGTAATTAATGTAGGATAATCGTATCGATGGAAGCTTTCATTTAAGACTTTAACATCGAGAAATCTTAGCCGTTAGCCTTTGTTTGGCTCTCATATGGAATTGCTTCAAGTTTGCGTTCACTTAAGAGTATTTAGGCTCGCAGATAACTACCGGTCACAATGAAAGTCGAAGAAAAAAATTGCTAAAAGTAAGGTCTCGAAATCAGAAAATGAGAGAGCAAATTTACGTGGCCCTACACGGATTCGGTAGTATTGACATTAAGACGAATGAAGCTGTTACGAGAACGGGTAGGGGGAGATGAAAGCGAGCTTACCCAGCCCTTAAATGGATCTCGCACTTGTTTTTAGAAGAGACTAAGCTAGTTGTACAGCTTGTGTGAAGGATTACACAGAATGGAATATAAAAGGTTGTCAATTAATAACTCGCGGTATTCTTGTAAGGCGACTAGCTGAGTCATGAAGAGCGCTGTCATCGTAGGAAACCGCCTTTGACATCTCTCTACATCAACCGAAGGTGTTGCGGGAGGCTATAACGAAAAACAGAGCATGCGTATTCAGTAACAGGCAATAATAGCAAAATTAAAGTTTTAACATGTGTGAGCTAACAGTTTTTTCGGGTAACAAGGGACTAGCGTTGTCGAAATCCTTGAATATTTCAATTTGGGAATCTAAAAAAATATAACACGTGAGAAAACGCGAAAATTAAAGTTTAAAAACAACGAACCTTCATTGAAACACAGAAACACACCAAACGGATCGAAATCCACCAATTTAAAAACCTTGAACCATGACCTTTTGAACCCCTTGAAGTAAACTTCTGTTGTCTATGAGATCAGGTGCAGAAAGGGCACAGACTTCAGATTATTATTGGTAATGACAAAAAAGCGGATATTTTTAAATAATTTTCTAACATTTGAAATTATGTAAAAATGAAATAATCAACATGTCACTAGCGTGGAACAAAGACAACATCTGAGTCCCCAACAAGATGCATAGATATGACCTCCCATACACAAGGCTGACGCTCTCTATCCACTTTGAACTTTTGAGAACTCATGAAGATCAAGGCCATATACTATACATTAAATATATCTTTTTTTTAGCCGATATTGGCGTTTCGAAAACATCCATTTTTCCGCACGTTGGAGAACTATCAATTCCTGTACTGACTGGAAGTGACTCGCTGAAAACATAAATAAATGCGTGGAGAGGATGGCTGTGAGGGGAGGGTTAAGTCCACCACCAGGACCAATGAATCAAATACACTATTGTCACAGTATTGTCAAACATACCTCCATAGATTCTATTAATAAATTGATTATTCAGTTGAAAAATGAGTCCCTTAGTCGTTCCCTCTTATAGTGTTAAATTCAAATCGGCATTCGTACATGCGTAAAGAACAGTGATTATTTCAAGAAAACATCCATTCAGAACCTCTTTATTTAAAAAGATTTATAACAATTTTAAAGGCATAAAATATATCTAAAAATTCAGGACAACTAAGCCAGCAAAAAATTTAATGACTGACTCGTCGTAAATTCACAGTATGCAAGATTGCAAAAATAAATATCAAATCTGAAAATAGGATTTCCTATAGTCTCAAGCTAGCAAAATACCGTAAAATTCAGAAAAGAAGACCCTCAATTTATAAACCCATCCTATTTTTAATGGCATTACATGGTAATGCATGGCATACATGACAGTCCATGGCAGTACATGGGGATACATGGCAATACATGGTAATAGATAGCGATACATGGCAGTAATTGGCTATACATGGCAATACATGGAAAGACAAGGCAATACATGGCTATATACAGGGGCGTAGCTACCTGTACGCAAATACGCAATTGCGTACCTGAAAATAATAATAAAAAATAATAAATAAATATATAAAATAAAAAAAAAAATAAAAAATATATTTCAAATATATTTATATTTATATATATTTTTTATTTTTTTTTTCAGTCATTTAACTTAGCCTTTTCTTTTACTTATTTTTGTACCTGAACTATAAAATTGTTTTTCCACATCCAAATGTCGGTTTCTTCAGAGAATCGATGTGATTTCGTCGGTCAGCGGTGGAGTGAATTCTCGTTCGTGTATGAAAAGAGCGGGAAATAAGAGAGCAGAAACCAGGCGAAAATGACTTTGATATTTTTGGGGGGGGGGCGGGGGTGAAGAGGTGAGATGGAAAACTGTGCGTACCTACGGAAAAATCCTGGCTACGCCCCTGATATACATGGCAGTACATGGTTATAAATGGCAATACATGGCAATACATGGCTATACATGGTAATACATGGCAATACATGGTAATACATAGTAATACATGGCAATACATGGCAATACATGGCATTAAATAACTATGCATGTCATTACATGGCTATACATGGCAATACATGGCAATACATAGTAATACATGGAATCACATGGCTGTACATGGCAATACATGGCTATACATAGTAATACATGGCAATACATGGTAATACATGGCTGTACATGGTAATACATGGCTATACATGGCTATACATGGGTATACATGGCAATACATGGCTATACATGGCAAAACATGGCTATACATGGGTATACATGGCTATACATGGGTTTACATGGCAATACATGGCATTACATGGGTATACATAGCTATACATAGGTATACATGGCTATACATGGCTATACATGGCAATACATGGTGATACATGGTAATACATGGCTATACATGACATTACATGGCTATACATGGCTATACATTGCTATACATGGTAATACATGGTAATACATGGCTATACATGGCTATACATGGCTATACATGGCTATACATAGTAATACATGGTGATACATGGTAATACATGGCAATACATGGTAATACATGGCAATACATGGCTATACATGAGTATACATGGCTATACATGGGTATACATGGCAATACATGGGTATACATGGCTATACATGGCAATACATCACTATACACGGCAATACATGGCTATACATGGGTATACATGGGAATACATGGCTATACATAGCTATACATGGGTATACATGGCAATACATGGTGATACATGGTAATACATGGCTATACATGACATTACACGGCTATACATGGCTATACATGGCTATACATGGCAATACATGGTGATACATGGTAATACATGGCTATACATGACATTACATGGCTATACATGGCTATACATGGCTATACATTGCTATACATGGTAATACATGGTGATACATGGTAATACATGGCTATACATGGCTATACATGGCAATACATGGTGATACATGGTAATACATGGCTATACATGACATTACATGGCTATACATGGCTATACATGGTAATACATGGTGATACATGGTAATACATGGCTATACATGGCTATACATGGCTACACATGGTAATACATGGTGATACATGGTAATACATGGTAATACATGGTAATACATGGCAATACATGGCTATACATGGCTATACATGGTAATACATGGTGATACATGGTAATACATGGCTATACATGGTAATACATGGCAATACATGGCTATACATGGGTATACATGGCTATACATGGGTATACATGGCAATACATGGGTATACATGGCAATACATGGCTATACATGGCAATACATGGCTATACATGGCTATACATGGTAATACATGGTGATACATGGTAATACATGGCAATACATGGCTATACATGGGTATACTTGGCAATACATGGCTATACATGGCAATACATTGCAATACATGGCTATACATGGCTATACATGGTAATACATGGTGATACATGGTAATACATGGCAATACATGACATTACACGGCTATACATGGCTATACATGGCTATACATGGCAATACATGGTGATACATGGTAATACATGGCTATACATGACATTACATGGCTATACATGGCTATACATGGCTATACATTGCTATACATGGTAATACATGGTGATACATGGTAATACATGGCTATACATGGCTATACATGGCAATACATGGTGATACATGGTAATACATGGCTATACATGACATTACATGGCTATACATGGCTATACATGGTAATACATGGTGATACATGGTAATACATGGCTATACATGGCTATACATGGCTACACATGGTAATACATGGTGATACATGGTAATACATGGTAATACATGGTAATACATGGCAATACATGGCTATACATGGCTATACATGGTAATACATGGTGATACATGGTAATACATGGCTATACATGGTAATACATGGCAATACATGGCTATACATGGGTATACATGGCTATACATGGGTATACATGGCAATACATGGGTATACATGGCAATACATGGCTATACATGGCAATACATGGCTATACATGGCTATACATGGTAATACATGGTGATACATGGTAATACATGGCAATACATGGCTATACATGGGTATACATGGCAATACATGGCTATACATGGCAATACATGGCAATACATGGCTATACATGGCTATACATGGTAATACATGGTGATACATGGTAATACATGGCAATACGTGGTAATACATGGCAATACATGGCTATACATGGCTATACATGGTAATACATGGTGATACATGGTAATACATGGCAATACATGGTAATACGTGGCAATACATGGCTATACATGGGTATACATGGCTATACATGGGTATACATGGCAATACATAGCATTAAATGGGTATACATAGCTATAGATAGGTATACATGGCTATACATGGGTATACATGGCTATTTTGATACATTTCTTGATACACTTTAATAACCCTACTTAAAGTACCTACCGAGAGATCTCTCGATCCCCGACGCTGACCAAAAGGATCGAAGCTCTGAGAACGAGAATGATTCAACCGAAGACAGGTCTATGTTAAAAAGAAACACGATTAATCAAACGATTGACATTTGAGAAGGATTTTGGAGTTAGTTTATCATTTTTGCTATATACAACTGAATGTCGTGTGCATGTCTTGTATTCGTCCTGCGATTCCGATCCCAGTAAACTGAATGATGTGCTACAAAATGATTTCTTGACCCAAGAGAGGATTTCCTTCCTTCTTTTTTGTAATTACTACACTAACGTAGCTTTCAAAAGATAATATTTTCTTGGATAACGAATGATATTACAATCAGCAGTCGGTTTCCAGTCGGCTTAAATAAATCAAGTTCCTTTTTGTTGCAGTTTGTGTGATTGGAGGCATGGTTGCATCAAAAAATGTTTCTAAAAAAACATCGTCATGCATTTTTTTTAGAACTGCCAGTGGGGCCAAGCAAATATCTGAAAAAAAATTTAGATCAAACTTAACAGGATCAAGAATCCAAACGGACAACAGGCAAACCAGCTGGCTATTTTCAAAGCTTGACTCAGGACTATCCAGAACCAATCCAGCTATCGGTCAGGGTGGGACTTGAGCTTGCAAGTCCATTGATCCAGCACTCTATCCGCTCGGCCAAGCTCCTCCCCAGGTGAAGTTTGATTTTCTAAGAATAAAAAGGAAAACAGCTGGTAGCCACAATCAGGCATGGTAAACCTTGAACACTAGTCGCTCGATTAACCAATCCTGTTTTCAGTCTATTTCCTCCAGGTTCTGTTTCATCTTTGGCTTTAGCAAAATATCGCATGTGCGAGTTAGTTATACCTTGGCGCAAGGAGAGTTGAACAGAGCTTGCTCCGCTTATGCTTGATCTCGCTTATGCGAGATTATATAAAAGATCACAACTCAATACAGGGGGAGGGAAAATGTCTGAGGCGTTTTTCCTTTTAATGGGATTTGCATTACTCTGCAGTGAATACTTAAGCAGAGGTCTATAATGATACATAAGGATAACCAGCCAGAGTCTTGTTAAAGTTGTTAGCAATCATAATTGTCAGTAACTTAAACGGCCTGGAGGAATCTAGCTTGTTTCATAGCTAGCTTCTTTGTAAATTCGGTTTCTAATTTGGATGGTCAGGGTAAATTGACACTATTTTTAGCCCCCTAACCAGTTTAATATATTTCGTTTACTTAGACTTAAATGGAACATTCTAAACACAAAACAGCTTAATTAATACACTGAAATTAAAAAAATGTGTTTCAGCCCCCTTCAAGTGCCAATCTAGCCCTGCAGGCCAAAGTCTGATTCAGCCCCTCCTGGAGCCATTTGAGCATAAGTTTAGCCAAAACGGCCCCATCAAAAGGCTATTCCAACCCACGCTGGGGCCTATTTCAGCCCTCGGGTCCAAATTAGCCCAAAGTAATTGGATGTTACGTCTTGGCCCTGATTTAAGGGAGCCAAATTACACTCAAAAAATAGGACTGCATTTTACTAACCGAATCGGCCCCATTTTTAGGGTAAACAGATCTTTCTGATCTACAGTGTATAATCAGGACTTTAATTTCGAGAGACGGGCACCAACTGGCCAAGTTATAGTTACTGTAATATATCTCTTCCCACCAATATTCCCTTTGCAAAAATGCCGATGTTTTACTTGGAGAAGGCGGATGAACCGTATTACCAAACTAGTAAACCGGGGCCATGAGCAGCCCCAACACTATCGCTCCCTACTATTTTCAGGTTAATAACAAACAGGTAAAATTGTTCTTCTCGAACGATATTTATTTCCCGTGACCTGGACGCTTCATCAATTCTCCATTCCTCAGTTCACTTCTGTTGGTCTTTCCAGACAATTTTCTAGGGAGATCTTCGATAAATTCTACCTAAAACGTGAAGTGAAAAGAGTTTCTTAATTAAAGAGGTGTCACAGAGGATTCAGAACTCAATATCTCGGCCTTTTGGCAAAAATAAATTGATTTTTTCCTGTTCTCATGCTTATGTGCCGCAGAAACTACCTTGGTTACCTTAAGCTCGAGAAAAGCTCAAGTTAGTTATCGTTCTATAGCTTACCATAACAAATGAAGATGCCTCATTGAAAGTATCCTAGTATCCGGTTTATTTCCTTTAAAATCTAACCTGTTCCTTTTAAGGCTCTTGACTACAATTCGAAAATAAAGCTGGAGTACAATTCCATATTATTTTTAGTCACGAGGCGTCTCGTTTGATCAAGTCTTGTATAAACAATGTGCATTAAGAATTAGACTAAAGGCAATTTAATTGTGTTCGATTTGGTTCCTTTAGAATAAAGGAAAGTTATCACCATAGCGAAGGCACATGAGAGGCACAAGGTCATTATAACAAAAATGGCAGTCCTCAACGCAGTCCGCAACTTTAATCGATTAAACGTTTCTGTTTTCAGTGACTTCATTTTATTTACTTTTGGTGCGATAGAATCAGTTATAAACAATTTCGCAAGCAATGAAGTTAGCTTGTAATTCATCCTTTTATAAATTGTAATGTTCTAGACTAGGCCACGAAGTTCAACGGAGCGTGATCAATCAGTTGTCAATCAACCACCTAACAGTGCGCGCCACTGTCTCGATAACAATCTCGTTTAGCACGCTCCTTTCAGACCAGGGGCAAAGGCAAAAAGGCAACGGGAGGGGGAGAAGGAAAGAAGGCGAAAAAGTCCTGGACCCCAGTCTGACAATCACTACGTTATACACTGTAAATCAGAAAGATCTGTTTCAGCCCTAAAAATGGGGCCGCTTCGGTGAGTAAACTGAATCAGGGCTAATACAGTCCAGTTATACGTAGGGCCGATTTGGACCGGGAGCTGAAATGGGCCCCAGCGTAAACTGGAATAGCGTTTTGATTGAGCTGTTTTGGCCTAGATTGTGCTCAAATGGCTCCAGGAGGGTCTGAATCAGACTTTGGCCTGCAGCGCTGAATTGGCAATTTGAGACTGAAACCGATGTTTTTAATTTTCAGTGTAAGCAACCTTTCGATTTGACTACTGAGTACCACTGAGATTGATTACGATTGCGAGTTTTCAAAACAAATTCGCGTGCCTCAGTGTGTCACCAGAAGCACATAACCCTGGTTGGTAACCGATCAAGTCACCCGAAAGTCATCATCTCGCCCGACTTTTTATATCGCCTGAAACCAGAGTCATGTCGTTAGAAATTTTGATCAAGTCGACCGAAATTTAATACTAAAGAGCGTATGTAATACATCCCTTTCTTTAAGCGATGATAAATTTTTAGATTTTGGTTTATTACAATATTAATTTGATTTACCATTTTTACTCGATTAACCTTGATCAGCCCTCGATTAAAAGGCCGCAGGTAGAAGCAAACTTACAAATAACTGATCCCGTCCTCAAATAAACACCGTAGCCATTCTCGGGCACCCAAACAGAAGAATGCGGCGTTTAAACGCGAATTATAATTAAAAAACTCGGTACAACTCGGAAATTTACACCATCCAGACAATTACACACCCCTCTGTAGCAGAGCCAGTGAAACCCAACCTAGTGGTTTAATTCAGTCTACCCAGTAATATTTTAGCCTCCCCGGTACCTGGTGAATAGTTTGTTTCTACCCGGCTAATTTTTTGCGTCCCCGGTAACTTTCTATTGTGACCTCTACAAACCTAGTGTATTTCGTTATTCATATTTTGTTTAAAAGAGGCAAAGATAACGAAACATATTTAATTACCATTGACAAAAAAACATCTAAAGGGTACCAGTAATAAATTTCGCATGAATTGTGTAAATCTTTTTAAATTACTTCTTCTGGCTAGAGCAATATATATAAGTTTTTCAAAAGTTTCATACCGGTAAAGATGTTAGGCCTGCTACCCCTTTTAGCTTTTATGGGAGGTACACAACTAAGAAAAAAATTCAGTGGAAAATAAGCCTTTTAAGTGACGTTTTCTCCGAGAAGCCGGAGAAGTTATAGATTCCACTAGGTCTGTGGCAGAGGGGTCGCTGTATTTGTGATTCTATCCGCTCAGCAAAAGAAGAGAGACACTGGAAGGTAAAACATTTGTCTGTCCTAGTTTACGTAATATTTACAAATAATTTAATTTTAATCTGTTTTCAGTGATTTAAAAAATGCGATTCTGAAATAAGCGCTTCCCTTGAATATCTCGGTGCCGCTATTAGAAATAAAGCCGCACCGGAAAAGCTAAACATTTAATAAACGCAGCGGTGTTTGATAGAGTAAATACGGTACAGTCGAATCTCCACTAACTGCCACCTCTCTACAAGGGCCACTTTTTTTTTGTCCCGGTAGACAATCCATACATTTTAACATTTACTCTTGTTTAAGCTTCTCTACAACGGCCGCCTCTACAACGGCAACGGCCTCTAAAGCGTGTCGCTTACTGCCAAAATAATCTCTCCAAAACGGCCATTTTTTTCAGTAACTGATAAGAACGTCATGAAATTTGATCCGTAAGGCGCGCTGATGATTAATCGCGGCAATCATATTTTGACTGTGTTCAATTTATACTGCTAAAGTTAGAATAAATTGTCTACTATTTAAAAATACTTGTCTTGTTTCAAAATATTATTCAAGTTTTTTTGTGTGTGTATCTTATTTTTCTAAATATTGTTTATGATTTAATTAACACCACAACAGCCACCTCTCCACAACAACTGCCAATTTCTTCTGTCCCCAAGGCGTTGTAGAGAGTTTCGGCTGTTTTCATT